CTCCATGGAGAATGTTCCAAAGTATGTTTTAAAGTTCTTGTTTCCACTGAATCAAAAGAAAGTTACATACTCTACCTGTAATTTGGATCTAATTAATTACTGAAATTATTGTTAGCTGATGAAGTTATCAAGTTATCTATCAAGAATGAATGTAAACGTAACATTGCAAGAGAACTTTTCCTGCTCCCTTTCCTCCTTGGGAATTAAAATCCCACTATTAGACAAAATTGACCCTCGTGAGCTTTAAGGCATAATGCTCGTCCTTATAATGCTGTTACTCCGTCAAAACATACCTGCAGTTGTGTTCATTTCATATACACATCTGAGTAATCCTTTATTATTAGTATGTCCAGGGTTCCCACTCTTTTTCACTGACAAAATTTCAAAACTTTTCATTGACTTTTAGACTACACCCTACATGTGTAGAATTGATCAGACTTTTAGGGCTAAATATTAAATGTTAACCCTTTCCCCTCACCCTGTGGTTTGGGATTATAATTTTTTAACATTCAAAATACTGTCAGTGCATTTATTGTTGTCTCTTTTAAACAAAAGGCTTCGGAAATAATCATAATAGGCTAATGAACTTAACAGAACGCTGTTGTGTGAAAAAGATACTAAAATTCCATGATTTTTCCCAAACTTTTCATTGAATTTACATAATGCCATGACTTTTCCAGGCCTGGAAAACATTTTAAATTTCCATGACTTTTCCAGGATTTCCATGACCGTGGGAACCATGTATGTCTATATCTATAATTCCAGGACTGAAATCAGCTAAATAATTCTAGTGAAGGTGTATGTAGTTTAAGAAAACAGTAGAGAAATTCCTGTATGAACACATGACATCACAAGGTGGAACAGAGTGTTTTCAGTTTGAGAGAAGCAGAAGAAAAGCCTAAATATACAGGATTTGTGTGATTAATATGTGTGAAATAAACAAAACACAACTCCAGGTATGTTTTTGATGAAAAACATTATAACATAGATCAGAAAATAGTGTAATATGAGCCCTTTAAACTCTTCTATATGTATATAGACACAGAGATGGTGCTACCAGGTCAAGTTACAGGTCAGATCTGTGGAGAGGCATGTTTTAATGTATTTTTTAGCAAGAGAAGATCACATGCTTGTTTTTTTATTCCAAACTGCTGTGTACAAGTCTGAGCTCAGCCGTTTGATATATGAGGATCTAAAATTGGATAGAAATGAGACAGCAAACAAATGAATTTCCTGATTAGACTGCAATAAGCGTCTTCTTGATATCTGAGCCCTTCTGTGACGTCAAAGACCACCTGTCGCCCCCAAACACATTAAACTTGATCTCAATGTAATTTGCTGTTACTTTACCATGTTAAATAGGAAGCGTCTGGTCTTAATGGATAATGAAAGATTATTAAATGTGCAAGTCTGGTGGAGCTCAGAGTCAGGGCCTAAAAAGCAGCAACGATGTCAGTGTGTATCCAAAAATACACCATTCTTTCCAGTGACCAATATCTTATATTTACTATTTCAGTGCTGATTTTGTCATATTTCTCATATTCCTTAGGTCATCATGATACACAGATATTTTTGAAGCACAATTTTAAAGGTCCTATATTACACAAAATTGACTTCTGTGAGCTCTAATCCATGTTATCATGTCATTACCTCACCCAAAACATGTTTCATTTGCATATGTTTGGGTAACTCTTAATTATTAGTATGTCTACATCTCCAAATATTATTATCTTTAGTACAGTGGAGACTGGAATTCAAGGATTCAAATTATCCAAATGATTCTAGTGAAGGTGTATGGAGTTTAAAAACACAGTGAATCACTTCCTGTATTACCACATTACATCAGAAGGTGGCACAGTGTGATTTCAGTTTGAGTGAAGAATTCAAATATGCAGGGTCTGTGTATTAAACATGTGTGAATGAAACAAAACAGAACTCTTGTATTAAACAGAAAAGTGCCCTTACTGGAAAATGTAAAACTGGGCAAGGCACAAACCCGAGGCACTCCGACTGAATATATTAAAAGTCCTTTAATGCATGAAGGGACGCCAACGCGTTTCGACCAGCAACATGGTCTTTGTCAGGGCAAAATTGTAAAACAGGACACACAGGTGGCATTAAATACAATCAGTTATAAATCACATGACAACATCACAGGGTTGTTGGAAAAAAACAACGAACAAACCAAAAACAAAAACGGTTGGCCAGCCATAAGGAATAAATGGTTGGCAGCAGACCCACCGAACAGCAACAAGAATAACAGGACATGTTGGAAGTAAGGTAGTCCTACTTACCTCCAACATGTCCTGTTATTCTTGTTATCCTTCATGCAATAAAGGACTTTTAATATATTCAGTCAGAGTACCTTGGGTTTGTACCTTGCCCACTTTTACATTTTAAGGGCACTTTTCTGCTTAAGACCACTAGTTTAACCCTCGTAGAGCACATGTACTGCTATTTTTTTAACTGTTTTATGACCCAGTGAAGCGCTCTATCTCTTTTCTTCATCTGACAACTCTAGGTATGTTTGTGATGAGGAAACAAATAACATAGATCAGAAAATAGCGTAATTTTGGACCTTTAAGCCAGAGGTTGAGAGAAGCAAGTTGGACTTGAGTCAGACTTGAGTCACTCTTTTTAGGACTTGAGACTTGACTTGATAAAATAGACCATGACTTAGGACTTGACTTGGACTTGAAGCTCAGTGACTTGAGTCCTGAGACTTAAGAAGACTTTTTATACTGAGCATAATGATTCGCACTAAGATCTTGACAATTTTTGCATTTGCATTTCTACAACTCTTATATAAATACTCACATATAAATATACCATGACTTTTTAAAGTACAATTTAGCTAAAAATTCATATAAATTGCAAAAATCCAAGCTATATTTGGTAGTTTGGTTTAAAGACTTGAAATGATTTGAAGCTCAAAGGAGATGATTTGGACGTGACTTGGACTTATGGGCCAGTGACTCAAATAAGGGAAGTCCAAGTTGAGTCTTGACTTGGGACTTGACTCGGACTAAAGGTCAAAGACTTGAGGCTTACAAAACAAAACAACGAGCAACAAATATACTCCCTTTTCCCACTATGGAAGTAAAAACATTTATACATTAATCTATCAATCATACACTTGGTACACTTTTCTGGTTGAAAGTACAGCCTCCTGCTTGTCTCCATGGAGAATGTTCCATGGTATGGCATTACACTTATCTCCATGGAGACAAGAGACAAGTTGTAGGTCAGATCAGCAGAGAGGCAAACTTTATAACTCTTAAATTCAAATGAAACTACCCACAAAAAATATGAATCCCACTAATGAATCAATGCTAAAAACTGATTTCTCTGTGATAATTATACTGATACAGCTAATGAGGTTCATTTTCTGCTGAAGATCAATCATCATGACAATACTATTACGTGGGAGGTTAGCAATTTCCTGGTTATTTTTTATTTTTAAATTCATATTTCCTTTTTATTATGTATCTCATTAAGAACTTGATAGTGTCACACAATACGATAATGTGGCAAATACTTAACAATCGCTTTTGAGATTATTGAAACCATTTATATTCAAAGGAACTGAGTGTAGCCTTCACTATTAAAGAAGGTACAACAACTCAGTGGCAAAGTTAGCAATTTGGGGGATCTAGGTGAACTTGAGTTTGGGGCCCTCACTACAATGCACCTTTTTTTTTTTTTTTTTGTTTTAAATGGATTTATTGTCTGTTTTTCCCCATTGTTCTTGAGACATGCACATCTCTATTTATTTGAATTATGGTGGATTGGAAACTTGTCTTATTAGTTAGGTAGGCTACAAGATAAAACTACTTTGAGTTCTGGGTATTTTTTTTTGCTAGCACGATTACATTTATGTTACATATGATTATTATTATTATTTTTCTCATGATTATTGTTTAAAAGCAAACTACTCTCATTTAATGTCATACTGAGAGAAAATCAAATTGCTCTGAGGCCTCAACCATTAGTGCATTAGACCATTGGCACTGAGGGCAATTGGTTGGGGGCCCCTCCAGGTTTGGGGGCCCTAGGTGGCCGCCTACTTTTGCCCGATGGTAGCATCGCCTCTGCTACAACTACAACCAGAACCTGAACCTGGGCTGCCAGTGACTAAACCTGCAGACAGTACTAGTAGAGGACATATACATGTTTTTCTCAGTACATGGAAAGACAATGACTGATGTGTGATTTACTTTAAGTGTAATTCTTAGTATCCAGTTAGTGATAGGAAATATATAACAAATGGTACAAATATAAAGCTTAGGGTGACAATATTTCCGTTTGTGAAAACCCGGACGCCTTACGGGGGGTGGAGGGTGGGGCCTCAACCCTGAGCTACTTTCACCTCGTAACCTGTGGCCTCCCACTTATCTCGACCGGCACAGAAACCAGAGAATTTCTTGTACAAGTCATTGTTAAATCTGCATTTGCGCTTCGGCATGTTGCAGACTGACCGCCTGTTTGTGTCTTCTCGCTCCTTCTGAGTGCATAGAGAGCTACGAGAGACGCTCAATTTAATGGCCCCAATGAACGGTAATGAAAACCCGGACATTTCCATCACTTAAAAAAATACCCGGACGCCCAGGACAGAACGCAAAAAACTGACATGTCCGGGGAAAAACTGACGTTTAGTCACCCTAATAAAGCTGTTATTAATGCTATGTTGAATCTTTATATTTATTTTTTAAGCAGGTATTCAGTATTCTGTAACTAAAGACATTTGCAAAGTATTCTTCCCATCATAAGTCAGGTTTATGAAATAAAAGATGTAAATACAGTTGCTTGAACTATATTCTTAATGCATGATCAGCAGTGTCTTGGATGCTTTGTCTCTTTGTGTGAGAAAACGCTCAGAGATCGCAGAGAGGAAAAGGAGTGGGAGGATGTGTACGGTTCCCAGCTTTCTTGTCTTTTTGTATACATGAGATCACCAACTTAAGCAGCCACTACTGACGTAACACTCTTCAAGCAGTAAATGCATTTCAGTATTTATTAAAAAAGAACACAACACTCTTAGTATGCGATATATAATGAAGACATGACAGGAAAGGAAGAGTTTATTTGCAAAAACAGATGTCATTAAAAAAGATTAGGTGAGATTTACTTTTGTCGTAGCAGTATTAAACGGACACATTTGTGTACTAACACCAGGGCTTGCACCAATACTTCTATATCAGCTGCGAGATGACAATTCACGGATAGTTTAGTTAACTTAAAGGTCCTATATTACACAAAATTTACTCATGTGAGCTTTAAGCCATGCTATAAAGTTGTTACCTCATCAAAAACATACCTGGAGTTGTGTTTTGTTTTATTCACACATGTCTGAATAATACTGCAAAGCTCAAAATACTCTGTTCCACCTTATGATGTCATGTAGTGGTAATTTTCAAGTTAACTTTTTACCTTTGTTCAGTAGAGATTGGCTATTTCAAGGCTGTGGGGCACTTCCTGTATTATCACTTGACATAATAAGGAGTGTTTTTTGTTTGAGAGAAGAGGTCAGTCTAAATATGCAGGAATTGTGAATGAAACAAAGCACTTCTCCAGGTATGTTTGTGAAACAACATAAAACATAGATTATAAATAGCGTAATACGGGCCCTTTAAAGTGATAGTATACAACTTTCTGGAGGTGGAGATAGAGAAGTTTTATGCCATACTGTGGAATATTACTGCCAAAAAACAACACTTCCATGAAAACAAACAGGAAGTCTACCTTTATTTTAGTAATTTTTTGACAAAACGTTGTGTGGCTTTAAATTAAACAGTTATCAGTTTTGCAAATTAACTCTTCAAATATGTTTGTATGTTTTTGTGGTTCAGTGCTTTGAGTTCATGTTTATTGAGCAGAGGCAGAGGCAGCTAATCGAGCCTTCTTCTCCTCCTCTGCTCTCTCTCTCATCTCTTTCTCTCTCTGGATGAGCTGTGCCCTCTCTGCCTCCCAGCCCTGCACCTGCTCCTTGTATCGCTCCAGGTCGGGCCCCTCCGTCGTAGACAGCTCCTTTTCGGCCAAAGCGTTCACCAGAGTCTGAAAAGAGGCAGCTTCAACTTTACCCGAGGACTCCAACTGGCTCCTCAGCTCCTGCAGACACAAAATAAGACACAATATTAAAGCAGACCTACTATGTAAAATCAACTTTTCAGAGCTTTTAACCATGTTATATTTTTTCCCCCTCAACGTTTACTCACCCAAAGTTGTATTTGGTGATACGTGCATGTTTGAGCAATCTTTAAATCGCTTATTTTCAAGATGCCATTTTTCCAGTCAACCCCCATTTTCACTGTCCTGGCAGACACCCACTGCTCTGTAATTACTTTGTCCAATTGTATTTTCTTAATCTGTGATATGCAAAGGATTTGGCGGCGTCGCATAGTCATTTTTGTAGCGTGATCTGCAGCTATCAATAGGAGATGCCAACAACTTTTTCAGCATGGTTTACAGAGACGTCTGCATCCATTGGGCATTGCAGTTTTCTAACGTGGAAGTCAGTGGGCTTCTTTCTTTAATAAGATCAATAATACGATATAGCACAGTATTCGCAAAAAAAAAAGGAGATGTGAATAAGTGCTTTCATACAATGGATCTAGAATCTGTTTGAATTGTGAAATATCCATAGATTTGTTAGGACAATTACCGTAGACAATTTTGCTGATGCAAGTCTACTTTAGGAACCATGTTCAATAAGCTGAAAAGGGTTGCAAATATCTCAACTCAACTTCACTGTCTGATTAGCAGCAGTGCAGTGAAAAGAGAATTGTGAAATGTACTCATTTCTACAGCTGAATAGGGTACTACTAATAATAATTCCATCAAAAAACTAGATCATTATTCTAAAGTACCAAATCTATATTATCCTTTATGCACAAATTAAAAACTTGAGTCATTCAATCAGATTAACAGCAACACAAACCTTGAACCTGGCGACATATTGAGGTAACTTTGCACGTTCAGCTTCATCGTCTTCATCGACTGCATCCTGTTTTTTCTCATCCTCTTCCTCAGTGTCTTCTCCAGAGGACTCGGACTCAGAGGACAAGTCATCGAGCACACCACCCATCAGATCCAACTAAACACAATAATAGAAAATATGCTTTTAAGGTAAGGCATTAAGAATTATATATAACATTTTATTACTTGCATATGAGGAAATTATAAGACTAAAACTGGTAAAGTGTCTCAACCATCACCATCCTCTTGAAGATCTGAAAATGTCAATTAAAGACCTGAAAGTGAAATATTTATTCTGGAGATTGACAACAATAATTTTCACTTCTAGTTCATTTACAAGTAGGAGTGAGAAGATGAACAAAAAGAAGAATTATTTTTATGTATTTGTATTCATTAAACATGTTTTTTGCCATTTTAAATATACATTTTAATATTATTTTCTTTAACATAATTAGTTAACACACAATTTCTGCATATTCAGTTTTCTCTTCAACTGAAAACTGAAAACGCTTTGTTCCACTGTGTTTTTAAACCCCATTCACCTTCACTGGAATCATTTGGATAATTTCCGCACTGAAATGATCAATCTGTATTGAACTAAAGATAAAAGGAGCTCTTACCTTGAAAACTTCCACTACTTGACATCATAAAGTGGAACAGAGCATTTTGTGCATTGAAGATGAATAATGTTGGATTAATCCAATGTGTGAATGAAACAAAAAACACAACTCTAGGTATGTTTTTGATGAGGTAATAATATTATAACATGGCTTAAAGCTAAAAAGAGTTCATGCTGCATAATATAGGACCTTAAAATACATTTCTCACTCTCTCATGCGAGAGTGAATAAGATCATCTGCGCAATGACAAAAGAGGCTGCAGATTTGATGTGAGAGGTGCCTGACTCCAGGCTACACAGACCTGCACCTTCTTCAATGTAATATTTCCTGCCTTGCCCACACCATATTGGCTCCATTGATGTTATTGTGGTGCCCGTATCTGACAAAGGCACTTTTGCCCCTTGTTCCTTTCATTCTCTTGGACATCCTTCATGCTACAGGCTCTTTAAAATCTCATTACATTTGGACAAAGCTTAATTATGAAACAGCACAATGCAAAATATATGAAATTATACCCCTGGGCAAGCACACATGTAAAAATATAACTAATATGACAACAGGCATGTGCAATGTAAGGAGACAGGTCCATTATGAGAAAGCAATGACGCAAATGCCCAGTTAAGATCAATATGTTCTTGTATCACAGGGTGGGACTGGGAACAGAGGGTGACCAGTGAAACTTGTTGCAGACAAGTTTGTTGCTTAAAGGGCACATATTACGCCATTTTCTGATTTAAGTTATTATAAAGTAGCCTGATTCATCAGCTGGTTTCACTTCGTGGAAACCGTCTGACTTCGCAGCATTAGAATTTGTTCGCTCGACGGTAGGCGGGTACTTTTTTAATTTAACCAATCGCTGCTATTTGGACATGATGTATGTAATGCGCCGCTAACAGGGCTAACTGATATATTAAGCTTTTCCCAAATCCTATAGGAAGGACAATAACGTCTTTCCCCTTGATAAAATTCACCAAACATTCTCTTTGTTCCGACTTTAAATCCTTGATCTCGGGAATTGTTGCCAACACATAATGTATGGCGCTTCGCTGATTGGCTGATGCTCGGTCTACAGCTTCCAGGGTTCTTGCAAATTGTCTAGTGTATTCCGATTCCTCGTCGCGGAAAGAAATTAAATTGAGTGGAGGTACTAGGTGGCAGCAGCCTGGCTAATTATAATGTTGTTTCCTCATCAAACCTCATCTATCTTGAATTGTGTTTTGTTACATTCACACATTAACACACAAATCCTGCATATTTAGGCTAAGTTCTTTTCTCAAATGACACATACATCCATACATCTGCTCTAGAATCATGTGAATGACTTCAGCCCTGGAACTGCCAGTCTTTATTGAAGATTTATTCACTAGATGTATTTTTATGGGCTTAAAAATACCTTGAAAAACACACATTTTTGCTGTGAGTAGATTTACCTGTCCATAAATTTGTAGTTGTTTGACCTGGTGCCATCATTTGCTTGTCTTCATGGGGATATAGAGGAGTTTTGTGCAATATTGTGGAACATTCTAGGCTAAGCAATACCATTTCTACGAATCAGGCGGACAAAAAGTTACACAGTGTACCTTGAAATCCCTCAAACATTTTTTTTCTTTTGCATTTTATATTTATTTGTTCTCCTTTGCTATAAATATTTGCACAGATTCTCTACCAAAACATGTGAGATCCATCCACCGCTTCAGTTCTGGTGATTCAGCTAATGGTAAATGTGTTTAGATGACACGCAAACAGCCTAAACAACAACGCAGTGTTTATTTAACGAATGAGTGAGTGGTTCTTACTGCGTCTTTCGTCAATGTGACATCTCCGGTCTCTGCAGCCACCCTCTCCATCACGGCCAGAGCTCTGTCCACGTATCCATGGCCCCAGTGCAGAGGCATGCCTTTAAACACAGCGTGGATCCCATTCTGCATCTCCACTTTACCTAAACAAAAAAATACAGTGGTGGATGAAGTACTCAATTTTGTTACTTAAGTAAAATACACATACTAGAGCAAAGAAATATTCATGTAAAAGTAAAAGTATCACATGAAAAACATCTACTTATTTGTTTAAAAATGCACTTAAAAGAGTAAAAAGTAAATCACACATATTTTTGGGATCTAAAAAAGCTTCAAATGTTGATTTTGGTAGAGATCTGTTAATTTCACCACTCAAAACATAGTTAACTGGTATGAGAAAAGTGCAAATTCTTCATCCTTCTCCAAACACATTGATTGTTTTTTGTTTTTAAGACGTGCCCAAAGTAGTGACACCAACATGAAAAACTGTCAATTAAATTTTAAAAAGACAGCGGTTCTTACTCACCGAGGAGGGTGTGTCCAATGAACTGAGCACTGAGGCCTATGGTGCTGTTATTTGTGAGGCCACAGAGGAGGAAAGAAGCTCCCAGTGCCCGTTCCTCAGACACCTGAAACAACAAAGGTCATGCAAATAAATGTGTGTTTTTAAAATGACAAGTTTCAGTTACAATGCTGCTTAGGGGAGGAAAATGTGTGAAATGTTTAATTCTCTTTTTTACAGTAGTTATCAGTTTCACCTCACAGCATTAGGATTCGTTCACTTGACGGTAGGCAGGTACTTTTTTATTTAATCAATTGCTGTAATTGGTTGTACCAATTATTTAACCAACGTAAGTAATGCACCGCTAATGGGGCTAACTGGTATATTAAGCTTTTCCCAAATCCCGTAGGAAGAAGGGCAGTAACGTCTTTCCCCTTGATAAAATGCAACAAACATTCTCTTTGTTCCAGCTTTAAATCCTCGATCTCAGGAATCATTGCCAACACAGAATATATGACTCTTTGCTGATTGGCTGGTGCCCGGACTCGCACTTCTGAGGTTCTTGCAAACCCTCTACTGTATTCCGATTCCTGACCTAGTCTCTGAAGAGAAATGAAATTGAGCAGAGACACTAGGTGGCGCCAGCCTGGTTAGTTATTAGTTGCCATGTCTGTAAATTGCATTTGACGGGTTAGACTATTATTTTAACTAAACCATTCCATATTACACAAAATTGACTCTTTAAGATTCTTTAAGGAACAGAGTGTTTTATGTTTGAGAGAAGAACTCAGAACTACTCTGTTGCCATTTCTGCATCCATGAAGATGCTGTATTATTTGCCTAAAATGTTCCAGTGTGACTGTAAACTTGAATAAATGCAAGAGAGACATGTGTTTTATTGCTCAAAAATAGATAAACATTAATTCATATTGTGAGCAAGATCAGCTCTCCACAGATCTGCCTAGTGATGTCACTTGTTGGTTTCCATGAAGCTGGATATGTTTAATGCTATACAGTGGAATATCCCAAGCAAAAAAGGAATACAATTTCAGAAATTCAGGTATTCCTTTTTAGATTTTAGCGCTACTTCCTGTAATTTACAAAAAACTTTCCTTCCCAAACCGCCACTTGACTTCACTGCAAATTAAACATAATTAAAGTTTGTTGAATATATTTGTATAGGCTATTTGTTGAGCAATTATTATTATATAATATAATATTAAGCAAGTGACTGGAGGTGTCTGAAACAACTTTGAGCATTTGTCAAATGAGCAGGAGGCACACAAACTCCACACTTTTTAATGAACTTTATACATACAAAGCACTCAAAATAGTCCATAAACTTATTTAGCTCCATGGAGAGTCAAATTACAAGTCGGATCTGTGTAGAAGTGACTCCAGTAAAGAAGAAAAGACCTGTAATAAAATCAAAATAGACCAGAAAAATTACGCTGTGCACCTTTAACTAAACATGCGGTTATTCAATTTGAGCATAATGTATTTATCAGGTACACTATGTAATACTGTCTAAAGCACATAAACTTATCTAATCAAAATGTCTTGGGCTGAAACGGTCCGAGTCAGGAGAACCAGACTGCACTGTCTGCAAACTCAGCAGTGCATGTATCAGGTTCAATGGAGGAAATCATAGACTGTGTATATAAATGGGCAGAGCTGACTCGATAGACGCTGAGTTCTAAATAGGAAATGTCCATGGGGGCTCCTCCGGCTCCATCATTTCAAATTTTTGTGTTACAGTTTTGGGAAGAAACATCAACATTTTACAGTTAATCACGAGTCACCAGTGAGAAGCTTTTTAAACTTTCATTCCCACTGGCACACCAAAATTATAATCAGATTTCTGTTGCTTTACGATTACCTAAATGACATGTAAACTACAAAACCTGATGTGAGTAATCAGAGGGACCATGATCTTTAAGGATTTAGATGAGTTTGAGTTTTACTTTTTATTTAAAGGGCCCATATTACGCTTACCTGTCATTCACACATTTTTAACACACAAAACATGCATATTTGGGCTGCTTGTTCTCCTCTCAAGTGGAAAACACTCTGTGGTGATGTCAAGTGGTAATACAGGAAGTGCTCCACTGTGTTTTTAAACTCCATACAACTTCAATAGTAGGACTGGGTATCAAGAAGTTGCTGATATGATACATACTTTGATACAGTGCACTTTCAATACGATACAATATATGTCAAACTGATTTGATACAGTTTAAAAATATATATATATATACTGCGATACTAAAAGTCTATGTTAAGCCACTTCTTGATCGAAGTTAACATGAAACACAGCCATTTTAATAATTGAAACAGTGAAAATGTGAAATATTTTGCATAAATCCTCTAAACAAGCAACAAATTTGTAGCACTGTAACAAAATCATTTAGTAAAATATACCAAAAAATACTCACATTAAACGATACGATATATTGATATTTCGATATTTCTGCACACCCCTATTTCACTAGAATCACTTGTATAGTCTCCGCCCTGGAATAGCCAATCTCAACTAAAGGTAAAAGGTATTGGTTAACTTAAGAACTACAGCTTCATCACAAGGTGGAACAGAGAATTTTGAGCTTGGGAAATGTAGACAGATTAATAAAGCAGGATGTGTGAATGAACAAAACACAACTCCATAATCAATCAGAGGAAAGAGCAGTTTACGTTCAAGTTTCTGTATGTGTTTTTTTTTTTCATGCATTTAATTGAAATGATTTAATTTTACTTCTAAAATAATAATAATAACTTTCTTTGAACATTAATAACTATTGTATTAAGGAGAAAAGCCCCATTCAAACCTAGAACATTGTTGGCACTTTTATAAACTATAAAAACTTTAACACTCAAAATAAGTTGTACAAAACTGAGTCCTTATATTTTCTTAATACATACATAAACCCAAAGAGGCCCAGCGCACATATTTTACCTGTACTGTGCCGTCACGGTTTAACTGCAATAAAAACACGACGTCACCTTATTTTTACACATACTTGTACATTTCAATCATTCAGCTGACAGACTGAAAAAAGTCCCATGTTTTAAGTCACACTCAAAATGTGTTTTTGAGTGAAAGCGTTCATTTATCATTTGTATATTTTTACTTGCTTTCATAATACTTCTTACACACAGATGACATGTACCACTAAAAAAATATTTGGCTTTCCAAGTGCTACAACATCGAAACCAGGTCTGAACAGTAAATTTTCTTTGGAAATATAGTAAAAAAATTTATAGTAAAAAAAAAAAAAAGTATGTTATTGAGCAATGGTTCACCTTTATCTTATTTTTCAGCACTGGTACATGTTTAATATTTGGTTAGTTATACGATCGATTAGTACCTTGGTATTGATTTTTTGACCACCTTAAACAAGGAAGCCAAAAGCACAATGTAAATAAAAAAAAATACTACTAAATTAACCTGGTACCTGGAGTAATGAGTCTACTCTTTTAAATAAGTAACTTTTGTGTTTTCTCCCAAGTCCATCAGTATACTCAAAAGCAGCACTGAACGCTTGCTCTGGTTTTGGAAACACATTTTCGTTAAATTTTTAAACACTTTTCGAAATTTCAAATATTAAGAGTTCAAAGACATCATGGACACTACGTGCTACGTACTAATATCCATAATGTGGTTGTTTGAAGTCCAAAAAGCACATCAAAACCTCAGTTAGATATTTTCCCCAAATCGTTCAGCACTACTAGGACCCAGTTAGGCAGATTTAAATACATACTTCCTCCTTTTACAGTTGGTAAATAAGATAATGTAGCTTTAATTAAACAAACTTGTGTAGTTTGGTGCAGCTTAATTTACCGTAAGTTCCGGTTTAGTTGCTAGATAACGTCCCAAAGCGTAAAAAGACAGAATCTGCGTAGAGGGGAGATCAAACGCCTCCTGAAGCATCACCTCTTCCACCACAGCACACGCACCTGTACAAACACATCATTATATATTACCTTTTCCTAGTAAGCTTTAATCAATGTTGACAATGCTAACAAACTTTCATTTAATTCTTTATTTAAGTTACAATTAAGGATTAAGCTAAATAAGGATGCAAAATAACTCTGTAAATAATTTGCATATTACGTTATGTAACTATTTGTTGACAATACATTATATATACAGCAGTGGTGAAATGTAACAAGTATAAGTGGTAAAGTACTGTACTTAAGTTAAAAAAGAGGTATCTGTAGCTTACTTACTTACTTACATTTTAAAGTGGATACTTCACTACATTATAGTATAGTATCTGTGCTTTCTACTCTACTGTATTTCTGTAAAGGATCGAAAAGTAAAAGTATTTTTTTTCAGACCCGCTGAAAAAGCTGAGGGTTTATTTTTAACATGTCCTGTCATTTGAGCAAACAAAAATATACAACAGAAAAACATTTCAATTGTTTCTGTTGAACAAAATTAAACACGTCTTTTATTAAAATCACTAAATTTGAAGCTTTATTGGATCTCAAAATCGGCATCAAATACTTTGACTTTTCACTCTTTTAAGTGCATTTTTAAATGGGTAATTTAATACTTTCACCTAAGTAGATTTTTTTCATGACTTTTATTTGAGGTGTTGTTTTTTTTCCCCAGTATCTGTACTTTTACTCAAAATTAAATACTTCTTCCACCACTGTATACTAGCCTTTGTGATAGCAGGCCAGACATCCAGGTGTTTCATAACTTCTGTACTGAGCAAACAAGAGAGGAAATGTTTGAAACTTGATCTAAAAGATTGGACAAAACAGTCTGTACGAGTCGAGAAGAATGCATTCAGACGTATAGAGACTGTTCCTGCTTCCATAGCAACCCTATAGATTACAATAGACTTACTTTTATAGTCCTCGTCTTTAATGTATGAGTCGATTAGCAGATTGAATGTGAAGCCGTCTGGGAATATGCCATACTGGACCTGCAGAAATAAACAATTATGTAAGATCGATTAAACATGTGTATGTAATATTACCCGGGACAAGTAGAAGTGGATACACAGCTCAACAGTAAACGTCTAGTAATTTTTCCATTCATTTTTCCAATAGATATTTTAAAAAATTCAAATATTAAGAGGTACTGCAGCACTCCAGAGACTAACCAGCGACATGCAAACTAATATCGAACTAATAATAACTAACTAATAACTAATTAGGTCCAAAGACATGAGACAAAACGCAAGATTCTGTGATTCTGTGTATTTAATAACTTTATTTAGTTTATAAAGTTTCAGAAATAGATTTTAAATAAAACTGTAGGTCATGTGGTCATTAGTCACCACAAAGCTACTTTCAAACTTTTAATATACATATTTTTTTGTGAAAGTCTGTGGGTAAAATTTATGAGAAATGTATTGCCAAGCTCTTGTTAACTGAACGTAAAAGGTCGCTATTGACTTGAAAACTACCACTACATGACATCGCAAAGTGGAACAGAGCATTTTGAGCTTTGGAGATGTCGACAAACTAATAATAATAATAAAATAATAACATTTAAACATGTGTGAAAGAAACAAACACTACATTATAACATGGCTTAGAGCTCATAAGAATCAATTTTGTGTAATACAGGACATTTAATTATGATCACTGGGAGTAAAAAAATCTATTTGAGGATATCAATTGTTGTTAATATTCCCACAACCATAACATCTGTAAAAACCATAAAGTCTGGCACTGTGTATGTGTTTAGAGGTGCATCAGATAAGTGTGAGAAAACATCTGGGTGGTTGCACTCGGTCTGTAATCATTCAAAATGAAAGAAAGCTTTGATCAGCGTCCCGTGATAAGTTTGTTTACATGAAAGCCGCTTCCTTCAGTCCAAACAACATAAGGATGCTTGCCCTGATGAAAACTAAATAAACTTGTACCTTGTTTTGTAACGTGTGCAGGGCCTTCTCCCTTCGGTTGTATTTCAAACATTGCCGGATCCAGCTGTGAATGGTCCAGTCTCTCAAGTACCAACAGTTTGGACTATGACGAAATCTGAAAATATAATTCCAACAAAAATATAGTAATTTAGCAACAGATGTTTGAATCAAGATGCATTATGTAACTGTATTGTCTTCATGGCGATGTTATTGCTTTGCCTGAGACGTTCAATAGTATGGCATCGAACTGACCTGTCTTCATGAGCAAAAGCAGGTGCTGCCATCAGAACTGAACTGAATAAATTGGATTGAGGTTTAAGCCCATATTCTTGAATCAATAAAGCAATAATAGAGACAAGCCTGTGATATTCCTGTCTCCAGTAAAGTTACATAGTGCACCTTTAAAGGGCCTACATCAGACAAAATTCTAGTGAAAGTGTAAGAAGTTTAAAAGCACAGTGGAGCACTCCCTGTACCACCACATGACATCACAAAGTGGAATTCAAAACAACATATCCTAAATATGCAGTGTTTCGGTGTTAAACATGTGTGAATGAAACAAAACACAAATCCAGGGATGTTTTTGATGAGGAAACAGCACTGTAAAAGACCAGAAAATAGTATAATGTCAACCCTTTAAGTCGGTCCTGAGGTGACAAATTTTGATGGCACCAACTGATAGGATTATCACTACACTACAACATGATACACTGTCCTTTGTTTAAATTCACTGAATTGTGAATATGTGATAAAATTCCAGAGTAAACAGGACACTTCTGCAATTGGTTCAGAGAATAACAGAATGACTTCTCAGAAAGAGGAAAAACTTACTTGTACAAGTAATATTCTGCTTGATCAACTTCCTCTGTAGAAGAGATGTTGTCGACAAACTAGAAAACAAATGGGAGACATTACTTCCATAAAAAACATATTATTATTAACATTGTAAGTATGAACTCACCCGTGACACTGTCAAAGAGCTGACAGGGAGATTTCGGCCGTATGTCCTGTCCATAACATTGGCCAGTGCAGCTACAATGCAAGAAAGAGCTTCTTAAAATATGTAACTGTATGTTGCCCTTGTCAAAGTAAAGACATACTACAGATAAAAACACATCTTAGAAATATTATCAAAAGCTAAATGTAAGTTTTGTGCATGAATAGTATTTATCACATATACATGAAGTTGCAGCACCCCCGTGTGTTCAAAGCTGACGGCGTGCAAGTCGTTTTAAAACAGAACAAAAAATTACATCTCTACAGTAGTTAAAGGTGCACCAAGTCACTATTCTGTTGTAGAGTCCTGCTCTGCACAGAGTTATTACTTTGCATATAATGTTCAATGGTGTGGTCTTACAACTATCTTGCATTTATGAAAATGTGTTTTTATTGCCAAAATACATCGAGAAACACACATTCTGACACTAAGTGGGGTCACCTCACCACAGAACTGTCCCATAATTTTAATACGACACTGTGGAACATTTTAAGCAAATCAATCACATCTTCATGGAGACAAGCAAGTGGCACATCCCTCACCAGAAAAGTTACATTGTGCACCTTAACGCAATTATTACTCTTTACGCTTTTAAGGATGCTACTAATTCAATTAAGCTTAGGCCTTTAGTCACTTAGAGATTTCATTAAGACCTCGAGAAACAATATGACAAGTCAAGGTGACTCAGAGCATCTCCAAATCTGCAGCTCATGTACAGTGTTGAGAAGTGTACTTTATACAAATGTACAATAGTGTCACAGTCTTGTACAGATCTTACCCAAGTTCTGAGGATCCTTCTCTCTGGCCTCCCACACTTTGGTGTCTGTGTAAGCTGCAGACAGCAGGCATCTTCTCACTAGATCGACACATCAGGTCATATGTGTTATTTTACGCGCATTTTACAGTCTGGATACATTCATTAGCAAAGTCACTTCACTGATGTTGTCAACATGGCTAGCATCTTTAGGATCAAATACAGTTATTAAAATGCATTTAAGCTAAAATAATTGATTTAAAGACCAGTGAATAACTGTTTTATGGAAAATGCGATCATATAAAATGTATGCAAAAAGGACATAAACGTACCAGTGAAAGATTGTGAAAAACATTTAACTTTGACAGCCGCAGTCACACAGCGCTTCCACACGGAGGCCGCCATCTTGGAACGGTACAAGTTTGCTCAGACAGCGGGGGTGTTCTGTACGGGCGAAACCATTTTGAGAAGTTTTAATTCTAAGGCAATATTTGCAGTGTTCTGGTAAGTTATGACATCCAGATGAACGGTAAATAAAAACCATATTACAAGTTGAATTGTACATGTATTTACATTATATTATACTGAAATTGCGTTTTTCTGCCAGTAGAGGTCGCAATTTGTCTTCCTTGGAGAGAGGAAGCACAGGCACTCATCCTCATTTGTGGTTTACAGAGAGAAAGCACAATGCAAAAGTGTGCAATATGTTTCAAAGCTATTTAAAAAGAGCTGCAGGGTTCCTCTGTCGATTAGATTTTGTCAAGATCAACACTCTAACCATCTTTGCCATGATATTAAAAATCAAGCAAGTGGCAACATCTAAGCTTAATTGAAGTTTAGTTTGGGAATTGTATTTTAAGTAATTTATCATTTTCTATACATCTATCACTGCTAAATTAGCCTTTAACTAATGAAGTCCATTTGCTTTTTTCCCAACATTTGTTTTAGAGGTTTGTGTGGAAATAGGTGACAGGTTGAGCATGGGTGGGGCAATGTTATTAAACAAAACATGGAAGAATTTAACATCCTCTTGTGTGCCTTCTGTCCAGCAAAACAGGAAACATTCACCTGAACAAAAGCCCACACCGAAAAATAACCCTGCATTTGTAAACAATTAGCCTCTGCACATATGAAGATAGGGCTATTTATACATTTTAAATTATGCAAAATATATATTGTTTTTATTTTGTAAATGTGTGTTTTTGTTATAAACCAGGGTGAACATGTAAGCTGTATTATGTTTATTAAGTAAATAAACTGTACTTGCAAGTTGTATGATGGTGTCTTGCTCAATGACACAACAATCGACTACAGAACGAGGCTGAGATAGATTCCTAGGGTTGGAGTAAATATTTGGATAACTTCTTTCACCACTTAAGGTACAAAAAAGTAACTTTGTGTAACTTTTCTGGTGGAGGGTCTGCCACCTGCTTTTCTCCATGGAGATGTTGAAATGTTTCACAGTGTGGCATTAAACCTTTCTATCATCAGGGAGACCAAAACAGGCCAAGTTACTGGTCAGATCTGTAGAGATGCAGCCCCGGCCACAATGACACCATGACATTTCCATAGAAACAAGAAGGTGACGGACCCCCAACCGAAAAGTTACATGGTGCACCTTTAAAATTCATCTCTATCTGACAGAAGGAATATAACAGTTTTTTTCTCTATGGAGACATTATTGCTGAAATGTTCCACAATATGGCATTAAGCTTCTTCAGTTTAGATTTAATTTGAATTATTTTGAATTCTGACTGGGCTCGCTTACTGAAGAATGAGATCTATAACTTGGTCTTGTGGTGTCACTTGCTTGTCAAGGAGATAGACAAGTTTAATGCCATATAGACAAGGCAACATTTCACTGGAAAGGTTACATAGTACACCTTTAATATGACTTGCCTGTTGAGTGTTTGGGAGCGTGCTCTCATGGTTCATTGCAGTTTCATTTCATTAAAGGTCATGTCTTCTCTGTGTTTTCTTCTGTTCTGTGTTTCAGTTGTGTAGTGGGCAGAGTGACGTTGTAATGCACATCTTCTCTTCATGCTGTGGTTATTGTGTTAAAGGAATTAAACTTCTTTATCTTGTACTTATTTAGTATTACATCTGTTTTTGAATTCTAATCGGGCAAGTTTAATGCAGAACATTCTAGGCAAAGCAATAACATCTCAAGCACAAGCACATGTTTGTTGTGAAGGAGCTTCTTTTTCTTGCATTTATTTTGATTTATTTTATTTTGAAATCTGATTAGGCTCACCTGTCCAGGCCTGTAACATTGTCTGGTGGAGTCATGGAGATAAGTTTATGCCGTACAGTTACCACGGAGACAAGCAAGTGATATTAAAGGTTACACAATGCCCGTTATTATGCCCGTTGAGTGTTTAAGTGTGTGTTCTCATAGTTTATTGCAGTTTCATTTCACTCTTCTCTATGTTTTCTTCTGTTCTGTGTTTCAGTTGTGCAGTGGGCAGCCCGATGCACGTCTTCTCTTCATGCTAAAGGCTAAAGGCTGGGAATGAACCATAAAGGTGAGGGGAAAGGAAAGGAGAGGAGGATGTGAGAACTTCCTCAAACTATTTGCAGTTTCAGCCCATGGACGCGGTGGTCGTCATGGACAGAAAAGGAGAAGCTGCTCTTCTGCATTTCACAGGAGCAGAAATGACTGTTTACCTGAGCGGGTGAGCAGCCAGTGGAAAGAAAGCACAACATTTCCAGTAACTACATATTATTGGTTAACATTATTGTGCCTTGAGATATGAAATAAATATTTAATCCCTGTTAAACGTGCACTATGTAACTTCTCTGGTGGAGAATCTGCCACTTTGTTTTTATTGCTTTGCCTGGAAACTTAACTATTTCTACTGAAACAAGCAGGAGATGGCACCAGGCTCAATTACATGTCAGGTCTGTAGAGAAGCAACCCCACTTTCAGTAACAATGCATGTTTTTGAGCAATAAAACAACCCTTAAAAGAACAGATAGAATATAGTGCATAGTGCATCTTTAACATGTTTTTATACCTCAATGCAGAATAGTGTTCCTTAGTAGTTTATAGTTACTGGAAATGTTGTGAATGTTGCCCTCAGGTAAATGTCATTTCTGCTCTTGTAAGTTGATTTATGAATTTGCAACACAAAAGGCTGAAAAACGCTGCTACACATGCTGATTACATCCTCACTTCACTGATCCAACTTGTTCTGCTTTTGTTAGACTCTTGATGATGGCCAACAACAGGAAATAATATTAATGTAATGTTACTGCCAGTTTATGTGTTTAAATATTTATTATATAATATTGGATGGCCAAGATGGTATGGCCTTTAGCCCATAGGAGAGGTGTTGCATTGTAAAACTATTATTTATCTGAGATTAAAGGTCCTAAAGTTGTAATATCAACATGGCTCATCAAAAACCTCCCTGGAGTTGTGTTTTGTTTCATTCACATGTTTCTATAACCCTTTATTATTAGTTTGTTTACTTCCCCTAAGCTCAAAATGCTGCAAAATTCCACCTTGTGATGTTATGAAGCTGTAGTTTTCAAGTTAACAGCTACTTTTTACCTTTTGTTTACTAGAGATAGGAAATTCCGGGGCTGAAATCATCAAATTGTGATTCTAGTAAAGGTGTATGGGGTTTTAAAACACAATGGAGCCTTTCCAGTTTTACAACGTGAAATCACAAGGTGAAACAGAATGTTTCTGATGAGGAAACAACTTTATAAAATGGATCAGAAACTAGTGTAGTATGAGCACTTTAATTCTTTGAAATACCTGGCCTCTCAGGTGAGCTCTATACATCATGGCACGTCTTTTTACGATATTCAAACTTTGTACTACTTTTATTTTTCTCTATTTTTAGGGGAAGCTCCTGCAACCTGCCGAAACAAAGCTTTATTGTGAGACTTATGAAGCCTTTGTCTGGGACACCCACTGTGTCCGTCAGCGGCGTTTGATCACAACCTAAAAGAGAGAAGAGGAGAGGTGTTTTCTCTTCCCCTTCCTCTGCTTTGAAACACAACCAGGAGGAGACAGGCAAGTGCGCTGTAACTCAAGGCAACCACTTCTGCTCATCGCAAAAGAAAAGTCAGTTTAACATTCTGGACACAAACCACAAACTTCAGATGAAACAGTTTATTTAAAAGATTTTTGTTACATTTAAAACTTAAAAAAAAATCAAAATAAAATAAAACAGCAGTAATGATCATGATTAAGTTAATTAATTAAATATATTACTATTCTAAATGATCACAATTAAAATGTATTTGTAATTCAGTGACATGATTCAAAATCTGACCACAGCCCCATCACAGATCAATTTACAGTACATTATGTTCAGTAATCATTAATCAACTATTTTTTATTACAAACAATCAGATAAAAAAGTATAATATTCATGCCCACTTTAAAGCTACCATCTGTAGTTACATCAGCCAATCCCCCCAGTCTTCGCTGTATTTTCACATATCACCACTAGATGCTATTTACATTACTGCAGTTTGATTGTTCCAGCTTTTGTCTCACAGAAGATGACCAAAGCCTGAATAAAGGCCAGGTGAGGGGATGGGGAACAGGTTTCACATCTACCATCTGCTGGTCAAAAACAATCAAACAAACATACAAATGGTAGCTTTAAATAAAACTGGTTACAGTGAAAAGGGTTTTGATCGCATGTTAGTTTAACCAAAAAATCTATTGATGCTATTGATAAAAAAAAATAAAATACAATCAAATTCACAGCTTTTTAAAATGAACCCGTGACACTTAACCCGTGATATTTTCCTTTCTTTGGTTTGATACACCTACATTGCCTCACCTCCTCTGTTCCTCACACACATTTTTGCTTGTTTCTCTCATTTTCAGTCTTCTTCCTCATTCTGTCTACCTGCAACTTCCACCGACACACTAATGTAATCACTCTCACCCTTTTTTGGCCTGTTTTGGTTCCTCTCTCCTTTGCTCAGGCTACTCGACTCAGTTTTTACAGTAAATTCGTCATCATAGGGTTTTCTATACTTTCCAGATGTTTTCTCCAGCTCGACAAAATCATTGGCTCTAAATTGTTGCTGTTTGTCTGTCTCTTCACTCTCCTCTTCCATCGGTTCGTTCTGGGCTTCTTCAGGACTGTACTGGCTTCTTCTGTACAGACTGTCTTCATCCTCTTCTTGTCCGGAGCTGCCAGGGAGGCTCTCTCCATCGGACTGGGTCAAATGCAGCCCTGGGTCCCCCGAGGGCTTCTGGGACAGGTCGAACGGTTCCTCTTGGCTGAAGTGGGAGATCAGGCTGACGGAGGTGGGCAAGCAGAATCTACCTCTCTGTCTGAACACTAGAAAACAAAAGACAGAAAGAATTTTGGTGAAATTAAAATACATCTTGATGAATCTAAATGAATTTGCAGTTTAATGATTTGAATTCAGAATATAAATTTTGATTTGTGGATTTGTAGCCACAGCTGCCCTGGAAGTGAGGCTGCCAATTTGTGCCATCAACCACTCACATACTCACCACTTTCATATTAGGCAAGACAGATGAAGTGTCTTGCCCAAGGGTACAACGACAGAACTTGGTTTGAGCAGGAATCAACCCTCTAAGCCAATGTCACACCTTTAATTAGACATTAGACAGGTATTGCTCTTTCTGCATGAGGATCAATACTTTTTGATACTGATGCTCTCACTACTAGATTTGATTTTGAAAGATGTCTGATTGTTTTACTAAATTAGAAATTTTAAAAAATATCTGGCAGTGGAGAAAGAAATTTGCACTTCTAAAATCAGCTATTTCCATTGGTAGATTTTTTATTTTAATTTTTTTTGTCATCTCTGACGAGTTTATACCTTTGTTGTGTCCTTGAGCAAGACACTTCCCCCATGTTGCCTATGTTTGAGTGTGATGTGAGAGTGATTGATGGCTTTTAACAGTCAGATTTTTATGACACACTTTCTGAGATGAAAAAAAAAGTTGGGCGATGCAGCTTCAAAGGTGCACTATTTAACTTTTTGGTTGCTTGTTTCCTTACTTCTCCTTACATTTACTCAATTGCAGGTGATTTTACGGCTCAAAAATACCTCAAAAATATTCATTCTGACTGTGAGCGGGGTCGCCTCTACACAGATCTGACCTGTAACTTCGTCAGGTTTGGTCTCCATGAAGATAGAAAGGTTTAATACTGTACTATGAAACATTCCACACAAAGCAATAACATCTCCATGGAGAAAAGAGTTTGATGGACCTCCACCAGAAAAGTTACACAATGCACCTTTAAACAGAAGAACTGACTAACAAATGTTGTTTTTATGCGTTTATGTGTGGAGGCTTACATCTCTGGTCCAGGCCTCGGTCCATGATGCCGTGTTTGACCTTCATGTGTCTGGTCAGGTTTCCCTTCAGGGTGAACTTGCTGGGGCAGTACAGACATTTGAAGGGTTTACTGTCCGAGTGCAGGTGCATGTGGCCCATCAGGTTGTGCATTCTGTTAAACTTTTCCACAAAGCTGCAAAAGATAAACAACATGATGTCAACAAATCTACCACACAGTTTTGTAGTGTACAACATTTTGGACAATGCACAACTTAAACTTTTGTATCTTGGATGTATTTAAAGGTGCTTTGTGTAACTTTTCTGGTGGCCACAGTATGTATTAAACTTATCTTTTCCTATTAAGACAAGTACGTGGCACCGCCAGGCCAAGTTACAGATCAGATATGTGGAGAGGCGAGCCCACTCATAGTACAAATGCATGCTTTTCAATCTATTTCAGAGCAATAAAACCACTAATAGTCTGTGTGTGGAACATTCTGGGCAAAGCAGAAACATCAAAATGAGAGAAGCAGGTAATGGACCTATCAGAAAAGTTACACATTGCACCTTTAATTACATTGCTTTATTTGTTTTAATGGACGTGTTATAAGAAGAGTACATATATGCACAGTGTGGGAGTGTGTGGTAAATGGTCACATTTTTATATACGAGTGTACGCAGACACTGTGGGCGAAGTGGGTTAAATGTCTTGCCCAAAGACACAAATACAGCGTTCATCTGTGAGAACTGAAATCACACCTCCAACAACCTGTGGGTCAGTGGATCTGAACGCTCAACTGATGATGGTTTTTTATGTTAAGAGCAGGATTCAAACAGCCAACCTTCAAATCAGTGGACAAACTCTCTTACCAACTGAGCTTCTGTGTGCAGGTTTTTTATGGCAAACCAAGAAAGTTTGCATCTTTAAGATATTTTCATCTGTTTATGCATTTTGACCACAATTTTAAACCCCTCTTTTTGGAAAACCATACTGTTTTTGTGCATGATTCATGTAAAAATATAGCAGTGGTTGTAGCAAGAGCCCATATTACACTATTTTCTGATCGCTGTTATAATGTTGTTTCCTTATCACAGACATTCATGGAGTTGTGTTTTGTTTCATTTACTCACGTTTAACTCACAAAAACTGCATATTTAGGCTGAGCTCTTCTTTCAAACTGAAAACACTCTGTTCCACTTGTGATGTCATGTGGTAATACACAATGTCCTCCACTGGGTTTTGAAACTCCGTACACCTTCACTAGAATAATTTCTCTAATTTCAGCCCTGAAACTGCCCATTTCTGATGAATTAATGATAAAAGGTAGCTGTTAACTTGAAAACTACCAGTACATGACATCACAAGTTGGAACAGAGCATTTTGAGCTTTGGAGATGTAGACAGACTAACAATAAAGTGTTACTCAAACATGTGTGAATGAAAGAAAACACAGCTCTAAGTATGTTTTTGATGATTCAACAATATTATAACATGTTTAAATCTCAATTTTGCATAATATAGGACCTTTAAATCTTCTAATTCCACAAAATGAATTGGCCATGTTTATTCACCCTTTGTTTTATGTTATTTTTACACCCAGTTATCAAAGTTTCCCAAACAAAAGTCCAGTGTCGGCCATGCTTGTTTTGTTTTTTCTGCCAACAATTCTTCACAAACTTTCTCAGAACGCAGAATAGTTGTAACTCTACACAACGTCACCATGAATGAATGCAGCAGACACCCCACACCCTCCCTGCACTTTGATTTCCTTTTTTCCTATTCTCTGACTCTTGGACGCGCATTTGGACACACGCGTTAGAATAACACGAGAGGAAGCCCCGTGCAGACAGGAGCTGGACATGGAAGGGCCGCTCCTGTGCTGTCCTTCCTCTGCATTCTTTCTTATGAGGGTGGTCCTTTCCTTCAGGAGGAGAGAGGGACTGTAAACTGTCCAAGAGGGCCGTGAGAAAACAGGAAGCGCCAGAGAAAGCGAGATGAAATCTATTTGCAGGGCCTGTTCTCGGGAGAGGCTGGGGGCCATTGTTGGAGAGGCGATATCCTTCCTATGAACGAGGAGGGTCCCGCTGCCAAAAGCCTCCCTGGTATCTGGTCCCTGCCTCCAGCCAAGCGCCGACTCAAGGTCAACACAGGCCCAGGGCTTTTTATAGCAGCTGCTGCACGGGCTAAATATCATAGGTTTGGAATGTGAATAATGAGACAAATGAGTCGAATGCAATAAAAATGTCATTCATGGTACAAAAATATGTGATTGTGTGAATGTAAAGATGATTAATGCTCAAATGCAACTGATTCAGTGTAAGAGCAATAGGCCAGTTTTAAATATTGCAGCTGTTATATTAATACAAACAAAGCCTTACATTAAATTGCACTTAAAGCCACCTAGTGCCCCCGCTCAATTTCATTTCTCTCCAGCAACTAGATCAGGAATGAAAATACACTAGACGAACCCCAGAAGTTGTAGACCACACACCGACCAGTCATCGAAGAGCTGTGAAGCCATGACGTCAAACTCAAGTGCCTGTCTGGGTCCCTTTTGTCGTACAACACAACAGTAAACAAAGTGGTCAAGATGGATGTAGACGAAGACATACATTCTGTGTTTGCAAACAATTCCCGAGATCGAGGATTTAAAGCTGGAGCAAAGACAATGTTTGGTGAATTTTATCAAGGGGAAAGATGTTATTGCCCTTTTTCCTACCGGTTTTGGCACATTACATATGTCACGACCAAATAGCAATGATTGGTTAAATTAAAAAAATACCTATCTACCATTGAGCAAACAAATCATAATGCTGCGAGGTCAGATGGTTTCCACAAAGTGAAATCGGCTGATGAATCAAGCTACTTAAACCAGGATAAGCCTCTCATAATGCTTCAAGTCATGATTTAATCAGTCATTCATTCACTACACTTACTTAATCAAGACTTAAGCACAGCGTAACATTTCTAGTGGAGGGTCTGTCACCTCTTATCTCCATGGAAATATTATTGCTTTGTCTAGAATGTTCCAAAGTATAGATTAAACTATCACCAGAGAAGAGACAAGCAGATTACAGCACTACACTACATTACAATTCAGATCTGTGGAGAGGCGCCCCTATTCACAGAATGAATGATAGTATTATTGAGCAATAGTAACACCTGTAATGAATAAATGCTACATGTTTAAAGTCATACCATGGAACACTCCAGGCAAAACTATAACATCTCCATGGAGACAAGCAGGTACCCTCCAGTGTATAATGAGGCATAATGCACCTTTAACATCTGGTAGTGGTGAACTTCTATATCTGCAGCTGCCCTGGGTGGGTGAAAAGATCTGAACCATGATAAGTCTAAACTAGATATGATAAGTTGACTTCGTGAATTCATTTTTGTACTTTCACTTGTTGCAAATATTAGCATTTTATATATGACCCAGCAGCCCGTATGTATCTTGCTTATGACAGTGACCACTATAGAAGTCCATGGCATACCTTGCACTTGTATGGTTTGATGTCAGAGTGTACGATCATGTGGGCCTTGAGCGTCTGCTTCTGGACAAAGCTCTTGAAGCACATGTGGCACTGATAGGCTCTGACGTTTGTGTGGATCAGGACGTGACGCTTCATGTTGGCCAGCAGGGTGAACTCACGCCCGCAGATACGACACTTATGCTCCTTCACCCCCTACAGACACACAGAGCAGGTCTAAGGTTATTTAGTCTCTCCATTTGACTCATTCCTCTACACCATTGAGGCAAACTGTCAGGACCAGATAACAACATATAAAAACATATGAAAACTGTGAGAGGGCTTGGATCTTATTGGAGCAGCCTCTGTCATTTTTGGCTGTAATATTCCACAGTATGACATATCTCCATGGAGAATGTTCATGAAGTATGGTTTTAACTTTATATTTCCATGGTAGGTGAAACTCCAGAAAGTTAAATGCTTTTAAGCCATGTTATAATAGTTACTTCATTAAAAACACACCTGTAGTTATGTTTTGTTTCATTCACACATGTTTGAGTAATCCAGCATGATGCTCTGTTCCACCTTGTGATGTCATCTAGTGATTGTTTTCAAGTTAACAGCTACTTTTTGACCTTTAGTTCAGTAGAGATTGCCAATTCAAGGTCTGAAATCACCCAAATGATTCTAATCAAGATGTATGGAGTTTAAAAACACAGTGGAGCTCTTCCTGTATTACCACATGACATCACAAGGTGGAACAGAGTGATTTCTGTTTGAGAGAAGAATTAAATATGTAGGGTTTGCGTGTTAAACATATATGAATGAAACAAAACACAACTCCAGATCTGTTTGTGATGAGAAAACAACAACAACTTTATGACATAGATCTTGAAAGTGTAATGTGGGACTTTTAAGTAGAGCAAATGTTTTTATGTTTTACACTATATTTTTGTCACTCACTTCTAGAAATTGTAAAAAACAACCGTAACCAGCAATAAAACCTAGTCAAAAACCCATACACACACTACTTAGTCACTAACTACACTTGACAACATGCTGTCATCTCCTTGGTGCCACTTCGTGTTTCAAAAGGAAAATCTGAGAGGAAATTCTGGAAGTTGTTGGAATAAAAAAGCACTGGGAGTTTAAATTACTGAAATAGCTGCCAAATAAAAACTGGGCTCAAGTCCAGAGTCATGTCTCATTTTCTCTAGAGACTAAGACTGTCAATATAGGTCAACCAACTGAGTCTGAGAAAATTAATGTAAAACTTCAAAGCACTAGACCCCTTCTGCTATTTCACATTTTTTACAATAAATAAATAAGTAACAGAAATGGACTAAAGTTACAAGTGAAATATTGTTGATTATGCCCTTAACTTATCAGTCTCAATGGAGGCAAGCACGTGATGCCACTAAGCCAAGGTACAGTTCAGATCTGTGGAGATGCGACCCTGCTCATAGACAGGTGGGCAAACTATGGCCTGGGGGCCATATGGGGCCCTTTAATCTTTTTAATCCGGCCCGCCAAACTTGAATAATAATAATAATTTTCAGTGTTTTAAAAGTCATTTCAATAAATAGTAAATACCGTGGGACTTTAAAGACAGATATTTTGTTGTAATGCTTTGTAATGATTTTCAATTATGGGACATTTCAATAACATGGGATATATTTTCTACATATCCATATTTTTTTCTCTTATGAGGTGGATTACCAAAAAACGCCATCCATGTCCTGGTCTGGCCCTTCCGTCAAATTTTAGAACCCTTTGTGGCCCACGAGTCAAAAAGTTTGCCCACCCCTGCTCATAGACAGTGTGCATGTTTTACAGTGTAGGTTTTAGCCATGAAAACACATGTAATTGAGTAAAAGTTTATGCTATGCTTAATGTCATACTGTGTAACATTCCAGGCAAAGCAATAACATCTCCACAAAGACATGTAAGTGGCCTACCTACACCAGAAATGTTACACAGTGAAGCATTAAGAAGTGATGAAAAACACAATAGTACTCACTTTATGTGTGAGTGTGTGCTGTTTGAGGTGGTGGGACTGGATGAACTCCATGCCACACTCAGTGCAGATGTACGGCCGGATGTCTTTATGTTTCATCATGTGATTCTGAAGCTGACTTGGATACTGAAACGTCTTCTGGCACTCAGAGCACCTAAAAAAACAAAAAAAACCCCAAAACAATAAGATGTAAAGAAATAGACTAAAAAATAAGTTCATTTTTTTTTTAAAAAAAAAATCCTGAAACAGATCTTGAAGAATATGTGTCTTGCGTTTAATTGTTATGAGCTCTTGTAAGTTAGAGGCACATAACTTGAAATATTCCGCAGTGTGGCTTTAATATCTTCAGCAGCAGGTGTGTAGCCTCGTACCTGTAGAGCGTGGGTCCTCGGTGCACAGTCAGGTGTCTCTTGAGCTGAGCCAGCGTGGGGAAGTCCAGGCCACACTCCACACAGATGTTCTCTTGGCCTTTCTCATGTTTCAGCTCATGGGCTCGGAGCTCACTGGGATATGCAAAACCCCGAGCGCACACACTGCAACTGCACAAGAGGAAAAGATTTACGATAAAAGATTGTATGGACAAATTTTCTTGCCTTGTATATTTTTTGTATCCTCTTTTTTTAACTATGGACCCTCTGACATTTTGATCAAGCAAAGTTATAACAGCAACCCTCAATGATTTTGTCTCATGTTCTCTCCAACAAGCAGTCACGCCACATTCATTCACAGACAAAGTGAATGAAGTGTCTTGCTCAAGGACACAAAAAAACTGTAGGCTATTCATCAGAGCTGGGAACAAACTGGGACCATTTGGGTTTGTGGCCACAATGCCCCAGGTAAAGCTATAAACATCAAAATTTTATCACACCGTCATATATGCACTATGTAAGTTTTTGGTGGATACTTCTTGCTTGTCTTAATAAAGATTTTATTGTTTCTCCTGGAATGTTCCACAGCATGGCTTTAAACTTTTCTATCTTGCATTTAATACATTATAACAAGTGATTACAGAGTTATGAGTGATTTAATTGCCAGAAAATACCTGTAAAAAACACTGTCATTGTGAGCAGAGTTATCTCTCCACAGACCTGACCTGCAACTTGGTCTGTTAATGTCACACGTTTGTCTCCACAGACTGATCTAATGTCATACAGTCAAACAACTTCGGCAAATCAATGACATTGCAATACAAATACCCTTCAGCAGAAAAGTGGAGTGTATCCGTCATCTTTAAAGTTGGCCTATTGACTATGGAACATCTAGGCCAGGGGTCACCAAACATTTTTTCTCTGGGGGCCACATTATCGCTCCTGACTATGATGGGAGGCCAGGGTCAGGTAACCCGTATAACAGAACTGTATGACACTGACAACGCAGATTATGTTCTCTGAAAAACAGCACACTTTCTTTACATATCAGACAAACTGCATGGTCCTTACACTGAATAAAAAAATGATTAGTCGTCCACTGTTCTTTGAAAACTCGGCACTCTCTGTCAACTTTAACACTCACCATTTTGCTTTTCTTAACTGCACTACAGTACCATGGATCTATTAAAATAACTGGATAGGTATCGCTGCTTGTAGCTCCCTCCAGTTAATGTAGTGGTCACTCACTGGTACTTCAGTGAACAAAAAACCCTGGGCTGAGAGAGGATTTTTCTCATAGAGCGCAATGTAATCACAAACTGCTCGTGTCCGGCTGACCCGGCACCTACAACTTTCAAAAATGTCTGATTTTGTGGCAATTTTTTACCTATTTTTAGATCATAAACTTTTTCTCAGCTCAAAATCCTTCAGTTGTCTTAAAAAGCACTTTATAATCTTTAGCTCCAGCTCCTCTCGCTCTAATTGGTCAAAGTGATCACGTGAAGTACCTAGCCGAGTTATTCTAATCTACAGTCATGTGCCATTGAGCTCGGCCGATTGATTTGAATGGGTGGCCATTTTGAAACCAATTTGCCAAAAAGTAATTTAAAAAAATAGGCCATGACAACTTTTGAGGACCTGCCTCATAGGGCCAGTTCAAGTGGTTGGGGACAGAATGGCAGGTGACAGACCCTTTACTAAAAAAGTTACACAGTGCATCTTTAAACTGGACAAATATCTATTGAGCATTACCTGTAGGGTTTGACATCGCTGTGCTGCATCATGTGTCTCTTCAGATGGCTGGTCTGGGTGAAGGCTTTGTGGCAGACTTTGCACTTGTGTGGTCTCATGCCCTGGTGAGTGAGGAGGTGAGTGTGCAGGTGACTCAGCTGTTTGAACAACTTCCCACACAGATGGCACCCATGTGGTTTGATCCCATTGTGCCCCAAAATATGCGTCACCAAATTGTACTTAGAAGTATAGGACTTCTCACACATTCTGCACTTCCACCTCTTCTGGTCTCCTCCCACATCGACATAGTAACTCTCATCTACGTGGACGTTGATGGTGAGCTTCTCTGGATTGGTGGCTGGTTGGACGTTGCGAGAAGGTACAAGATCTCGTGTTTTGGGAGCGGGGCGGGTGTCTTCTCGCTGGTAAAACGTGCTGGGGGAGAGGCGCATGAAGGTCCCTGGTAAATAGTAAGGGTACGGGAGGAGACTGTGGTGCAGCGGGGGTAAGAATGGGGGATGAAGGAGGTAAGGAGATGTCGGCCATATTGGAGTTGGACTTATAGGTTCTTGCTTGACTTGTACTGAATCACTATGATGTCTGTTTAACTCGATCATCCCTGATTTTGGAGACAGCGGGCTGATCGGACTCCAGACAGTTGTTTCCCCCATTTTGTTTTCAGTTTTGTCTTCTCGCTCATCTTTAGCTTCTGTTTTAAAATGCTTGCGTGTTTGTGTTGCCTCCCGTTGAGAAAGCCCGAGCATGGGGAAGTAAGCAGGTGGGCTAAAGACGCTGTATGCATTGGCTCCACTGGGTGTAACACTGGGAAAGCCTGTACCGGGGAACTTAGGGGCTTTGATGAGCAGAGGAGGGGGGCTCAGGTAGAAGCTGCGCTCTGAAGTAGGCCTTAGATCATCTTTGCGTTGTGGGCTGCGTGAAAAATGTGCAGAGTCTATTTCCATCTTCAGTCTAGAAAAAATAAAATAAAAATGAACACTGTTAAGTTAATACTGATGCATATATTGTGCCTTTAAAGGCTCTATATTGGCTCTTGTGAGCTTTAAGCAATGTTGTAAACTGTTGTAAAGTCCTGTGAAGTGTTTTGTTTCATTCACACATGTTTAACTAATCCTTTATTATTAGTCAGTCTACATCTCCACCTTGTGATGTCATGAAGCGATAGTTTTCAAATTAGCTACAGCTACCTTTTACGTTTAATTGAGATGGGCAATTCTAATAGCGCGGCTGGTGCCACTTAGTGCCTCCGCTCAATTTAATTTCTCTCCAGTGACTAGATTAGGAATCAGAATACACTAGACAGTTTGCAAGAACCCCGGAAGCTGTTGAATGCGTACCGGCCAATCAGCAAAAAGCTGTGAAGCCATGATGTCAAACTCAAGCACCTGTCTGGATCCTTTTTGTGGTACAGCACAACAGTAAACAAAGCGGTCGAGATGGATGTAGATGAAGCCATACATTCAGTGTTGGCAACGATTCCCAAGGTCGAGGATTTAAAGCCAGAGCAAAGAGAATGTTTGGTGAATTTTATCAAGGGGAAAGACGTTATTACCCTTCTTCCTACGGGATTTGGCGTAACGACCAAACGCAGCGAATTGTTAAATAAAAAAAGTACAAGCTGTGAGGTCAGAGGAGTTCCACGAAGTGAAACCGGCTGATGAATAAGGCTACAATTCTAAGGCTGAAATCATTTGTTTGATTGTAGAGAAGACCAGTTGAGCACTTCCTGTATTAACACACAACATCACAAAGTGTTTTTTGTTTGCGGAAATAACTCCTAAAATAGCCTAAAGCCTAAAAATAATGTAATACAGAACCTTTTAAGTGACCATTAAAGTGCATTATTCATTCACTTTACACTCGGTGGTGGTAACCTACTACAGCACAGCTGTCCTGCGGCAGACTGACAAAAGTGACTTCTTTGAACGCAATCAACCCTTCTGACCACCACCAACACTCACACACACATCGCATTTATACTAAGTTTTGTGGGTGAAGTGCCTTGCCTAAGGACATAATAACATTTGAACTAGAGCCCCTGTTGTCCCTCTATGACACTTGGTACTCCCAGCAGTCTCCCATTGAAATGCTAACCAGCTCCAGCCTTACTTATGTTATGAAATCTGACAATACCGGGCAATATCGGGCATTGGCAAGCAGGTTTTGCATTTAAAAAAGGTCCTATATTATGCAAAATGGATTCTCATGAGCTTTAAGACATGTTAGAATGTTGTTTCCTTACCAAAAACATACCCGGAGTTGTGTTTTGTTTCATTCATACATTTATTATTCTGTCTACATCTCCAAAGCTCAAAATACTCTGTCCAATAGTCACCTTTAATACGACCTTTAATAAAAGTAATGCTACAAAGTTTGGGACAATTTCTGCTCAGACTTGGAGAGTTTGTTTATAACATCGCACTAACTTCTCTCAGCATTTCTTTCTGTGACAAGATTCAGTCCTGTATAAGTAATCTGTGGCTCTATCTCAGCTTGGTTTCTATTTCCAGCTTGAGTTTCTGTCAGTGGAGATTGTCAGTGGACAGAGTGACACCGCCTACACCTCTCAGCCTGAACTTTTCACTTCTGCCTTTTTCATACATCTCCTCTGTGTCCTCGCCTCCTGAAATTAGGAAGTTCAGAAGCACCTTTTCGCTTCTCCATCACCGCCTCTGTCCTGTTCTTCTTATTTGGTGTGATCATTTAAACTATGCTTGCACAACTAAGAAGCAATTTGTGATAGAAATCTCAAATCTGTGTAATTTTTAAGGGTGCATTCATACTTATTACTTTCTTGCTCCTAATCCCAAATTCTGATCTACCTTGACCAGTCCGAACACTATGGGTGACGTGACATTTGCTTAGACCACTTCTTCTTTTAAGTTAACAGGTACATTTTATCTTTAGATCAGTAGAGATTAGAGTTTGTCTATTCCTGGGCTGAAATTATCCAAATGATTCTCGTGAACGTGTAACAAAACATAGTGGAGCACATCTTGTATTACCAAATCAATGTTTTCTGTTTGAGAGATGAACAATTTGTGAGTTAAACGTGTGTGAACGAAACAAAACACAACTCCATGGGCTCTTTGAAATGTGCACAGTGAACTGAGTCTTGGTCTGAAAACATAAAGTGCAAATGTAATTGCCATCACACTACCTGCGATTGTTTTTTTGTTTTGTTTTTTGTTAGTTTTTTGAAATCGTGCATCTTATCATAAACAAACTCTCCGTCTGTCCCTTCCCCATCTGCTTCTGCACAGTCATTGATCAAAAATACAATTCAGTGTAGATAAATAAAAAGATGGGGAACTCTGCAACTTCTGCATCAATTTTAATTTAGATCATATTTTTATTCTTAGTTCTTCTTAGAAATGACATTTGAACAAAACCTTTATTGTTGAATTGAGGATGCATATGTCTGATTTTAAAAGTTAGACTAGGGCTGGAGCTGATTGTTTCAATTAATCATTGATAATTTTACTGAGAGATCAATGTTGTGTTATGAGGCATTTTAAAAGTACGTCTTGTTTGTATTTATGAAATTAAAGGTGAAATGCGCAGCTTTTCTTTTTTCAGCTTGTCTCCGTGGAGATGTTATTGCTTTTTTTTTTTTTTTTTTTGAATATTCAGTGGTATGACATTAAACATTTCCATATAGCATTTTTTCATTATGGGTGTTTCTGTTTCCCTTCTGTGAATAGGGGCGACTCTCCACAGATCTGAACTGTAATGTAGCGTACCTGATTGTCTTCCTTGTGATAAATAGGTTCAATCTATACTGTGGAACATTCTAGACAAAGCAATAACATTTCCATGGAGACAAGCAGGTGATGGACCATCCACTAGAAATTTTAAATTGATAAACACGATTTGAACTGAAAATCACAATAGAACAATACAAAAGTATATATTGCCCCACACTAGTTTAGATGTTCTGTTATCAATATTTGCAAACACACATGTTTTATCAAAGGCGTGTTTATCAACGTTTTTCCGATGTAAGACCATTTCAACAGATACATAATATTAAGATGAAGATTTATGTTTGCAAAACTCACTTGTAATCCAGTGCCGTGAAAACATGTGAGATGCAAACCCACTAAACAGAGTATCATAAAGCAATGTTAGAGTGTATTTATAACAGAAAACTAAACAAAATGTCACATGTTAAATGGTACACGGATTCATGTCACTTTTGAAAAACTTCATTTTAGAGAATAGATATATTTTTTTAGTTCGCTTCCGTTTTTATGTTACAAAGGAGGAAAAGCTCAGAGTGACTAAAAACAGTTCATCTCGAGTCAACATATAGATACAATCATATACAAAATATAAAGATAAAATGAAATATGCTGTACTTTGCACTTAATACAACTAAGAAATTCAACTGAGAAATCTTGTTTGTTCTTTTCAAATGTATAAACTGCAAATGTTTGAACTTTTTAATAGCAATAAAAACACACCAACAATTAAGAAATGACATAAGGGCAGATAGATCGCTGTGTTCATGTTACACAAACCAAGAAGTAAATTTAGATTTGAATTCATACATTTATATACAAGACACATTATTTCAACTCTGCTTGAAGCTACAAAGTTTATGGACCGCTAGTTGTATATTGACCATTCAACACACAATATCGACAACACACACTGGTCTGATAATGAGTTGAAATACTGAGAGCATAATTTTGTAAACATTGGGAATTACTATGCATCACAGTGACTAAAAATTAGAAAAATGCATACATTATTTTAGCGTTTTCATTTCCTCACTCTGCTGTCACTCACCCATACTAACTTTAACACATATGCCTGATGCCAAAAATACCATTAGACAGGACATACTTTGTGCTACTCCAAACTATATAAATACATAATACAACAATTCATCAGTTAGCTTTTTTTTCCCTTATGCACTGTTTTGTTTAAAGGTGCACTGTGTAACTTTTCTGGTGGGGGGTCTGCTTACTGCTTGTCTCCATGGAGATGTTAATAGATTGGTTTAAATTCTCCACAGTATGGTAATTAACTAATTTGTCTTGCATTTATTCAGCTACATGTGTTATTTATTGCTTAAAAACATTCATTCTTAATGTGAGTGGGGTCGCCTTTCCACAGATCTAACCTGTAATTCATTCAAGTTTATGGCCGTACTGTGGAACATTCTAGTCACATCTCCATAAAGACAAACAAGGTGACGGACCCTCTACCAAAAAAAGTTACACAAGCCAATCCAATCCACTTTATTTCTATGGCATATTTCATTAACAAAAGTGCTGCATGTAGAGAAATAAAACAAAGCAAACAAAAACCAGAGTGCACCTTTAATCTCTCCTGGAGCACTCTGCAGCCTGACACTCACCCATACTTTTCCAGTCCGTGCATTTCAAACAGTCGATTAAACAGAAGCCCCTCCTCACATGTGTGCACTCACCTTCACACAGCAGCAGCAGCAGTAGTAGTAGTCCCAGTGCTTGCCTCAGAACATGGGGATGCTGTGGTGGACTTCAGCAGCTCCTTTGGACTCACCGTCTACCTGTGTTTCTCTGCCTCCTGCTCGCTGCACGCCTCTCTTGACTATGATAGCGGATAGCATTTGAAGTGACTTAAGAAAGAGAACAGGAACAATCACTTTGTTCTCATTTTTCAGATGAGTACCTTCGGAGAGAAGGAAGGAAGGGAGGGGAGAGGAAGTCAACAAGCCGAGTGCCTTCCTGCAGAAAAATAAGGAAACACTAGATAGACATCTCCACTTCTCCACCAAAAAAGACATTTAAACTGCTTTTTGGGAGAGAATGCACCACCAGAGCCGATGTCACACAAGAAAACAATACATAGAGGAGTTTTATCAGCTCAGAGCACTTGTCTAATAAACTTTTATCCTTTTATCACACGCCCATGCATTCTAAGAAGACTTATTTACAAAGCATGCACAATAGTTTGAATTTTGATTTATTTTGTTTACAATAACATTTCCAAGCTCTGTGCAGAAGCAAGTGTTTTTGTTTGTGATTGCAGCAAATCTAAACTACCTAGAAATACTAAAACTAGTTGCTTTCTTTAATAATCTTCAGAATACACAAGTTTAGTGGATTAGTATGGTGGAATAAAGCATGCAGATGTTTGTTAGTATTTAAAGTCCAATGTTTGTTTGTTTTTGTATAGATATGCACTGAAATTGTCTTCCTATTAATAATGTTAATTTCTGTTGATTAACATTTGCAGTAGATTTTTGTGCATAAAGTTAATTGTCTTAATAATAATTGCTCAATAACAAAAAGCCGAATTACCACTAACTGGTATATTACAACTTAACAATATATAGTCCCTGAACCAAAGCGCTGCAGAATATTTCTCCACAAATTAATTCTAGTAGAGGCTATTTAGTTTCCTAGTTTTTGTTAAACTGGTTAAAACTTACAACAATATTTCCTCTCATCTGTCTAAATATAGAAAAGATGATATAAAACCATATAGCCACTAGGAGGCAAGAGTGACCCGTCATGAAAACTGCTCATGACGTGTCACTGCACAAAACATCTACTGCATGAAATACTCAAAGTACTCAACATCTACAGTACTTGTCTGCCTGTCTGTCTGTCTACTTCTATGACTGCAGATCTGCTAAACTTTACTCTAAGGACATCAAGATCATTGGTTTAATTTTTATAATTGTGATAATTCATAATTCACAGGTCACAATATAATCATCAGGACTGCAACTAATATACAACTCATAAACAATATCGACTTTGATTTTGATTGATTTTGCAGTGGTGTCACAATGGGGGAGGAATGTTTATTAGTAATCATCAGTTTGAGAGGGACTTGTTTAACAGCACGAATCATATCACCTGTTGGAAGTTCCAACTAAGTCACTTCTGCATGGTCAGATTATGTGAAAACAAAGCTGAAGTCTAACTTGAGTGACAGAGCTTCAGACAGAGTAGGGCCTACAGATAGCATCACAACCCCAGGAAATGTTGATGTTTGTGAATAATAGTTGAAGTGAGGTGTTTTTCCCACTACTATAATTAGATTTAAGGCAAGACAAGGCAAGTTTATTTGTATAGCACAATTCATACACAAAGTAATTCAAAATGCTTTACAGAATAAGAAATACATTAAAACTACAATAAAAACAAATAAAAACATAAATAATCATCATAAAATTTAAAAGAGAGACATTAATTGCATAAATTAGAGAGAAGAGTGCAGAATGAAAACCTTTCAGTCATATACACGGCTAAACAGAACCATTTTGGGTGTGCTGTTCCAGGTTTTAACTGCATGAATCTGAAATGCTGACTCCCCGTGTTTAGTTGTGACTCTGTTCACCAGCAGGAGGCCAGTCCCTGAGGTCCTCACAGTGCGAGATGGTTCATATGGCACTAATATGTCACACATGTACTTTGGTGCTCGGCCATGGAGAGACTTGTACACAAGCAGAGCCGCTTTAAAGTCTATTCTCTATCTATTTAAAAAATCCATATTACGCTCTTTTCTGATCTAAGTTATAATGTTGTTTCCTTGTCAAAAAACTGGATTTATGTTTTGTTTCATTCACACATGTTTAACACACAAACCCTGTATATTTAGGCTGAATTCTTCTCTAAAACTGTAAACACAATGTGGTAATACAGAAAGTGTGTTTTTAAACTCCATACACCTTCACTAGAATCACTTGGATGATTTTAGCCCTTAAATTGACAATCTCTACTGAACAAATGGTAAATGGTAGCTGTTAACTTGAAAACTATTGCTTCATGACATCACAAGGTGGAACAGAGCATTTTGAGCTTTGGAGATGTAAACCAGGCTTACTCAAACATGTCTGAATGAAACAAAAAACAACTTCTAATGTTTTTGACATTATAACATGGCTTAAAGTTCACAAGAATCTTTTTGGTGTGATATAGGACCTTTAAGTGGTGACATCCTTATTTAGGCCTACTACAGGTGTAATAATATAGAGAAAATACAGAGATATGTGTTAAAGATTCATCTTATAGGCCTTTTACTGATTCTAGTAGAAGCTTATGCGTTACATTGGCTCAGAAGTTGCACTTTCTTAGCTGGTTTTAATTGCCTTGACGTGTTGCTGTGATAATGAGCAAGGATCTGTGGTAATTGAAGTCATTTGATTGAAATCATGTTATTGTCCTCTTTTGGCTGTGCTGCGTCATTAGCCATGTTAATTAGCTCATAAAGTCTATTAACCCCAGACCTGAACACTGTGTACCAATCCATGTTACGAATTAGAGCTTTAATAAGTGAGTGGGTAAGTGAGTAAGAGCATGCTTGTTCCTACTGTAGACATACCTCAAGTTTGGGCTGAAATTATCCAAATGATTGTAGTGAAGGTGAATGGAGTTTAAAAAGACAGTGGAGCACTTCCTGGCTACCTGGCTCACACACTGAATATTTTGTTTCTTGAGCTCAGTTTTTAACAGCATATCATGGGATTTTAACCAAGTTAGAAGTGCAGCATGTCCAGTTTAAAGGACACAAGTAAGGGACTTTTGGATTTAAGAAATTAGCTTTAGCTTGTGTAGTGTGTTTGTGTGTGTCTAAAGTAAAAATGGTGTCCAAACTTACAGAATATTGGTTATGGTGTTTAATTAAAGATGCAGGTTCCACAAATGAAGATTCCACAATATATCCGGTTCCCACAATCAAAAAACTGTAATGGCCACAGCCTTCTACAACAGGGGTCATCAAACTAAGCCCCATCTGCAGCAAACTAGCACATCTGCAGCTTGTATTTTGTTGATTTTTTTCATTTAAAAAAAATTATATTTATATGAAGTATTTATAATATTTAAATAATTATATGACATATTTACATTTGCCGCCAAATTTTCGTCACCTGACAAGCTCGAGATCAAACAGTGACAGTCAAAGCTCACGTAGAGTTCTGTAGTACAGTTAAGGACAGCAAAATGGCAAGTGTTAAAGTATGTTAAAACTTGACAGAGAGTGCAGAGTTTTCAAAGAACAGTGAACGACGTAAAGAAAGTGTGGCGGTTTTCAAAGAATATAATCGCGTTGTTACGGTCATACAATTTTGTTATAAAAAGTTTGGTGACCCCCTGTTCTACAGCTTCCACACAAAGAATTATCAGGCCACATAAGCCACCATGAGCCACCATACTCCACCCTCAAGGCTTCACCCCAAACACCTTCAACCAAATGTAGGACAGAAATGCTTCAACAGTTTGTTTTTCCTGTGTTTTGTCCTGTTGAGATGCTACAGCCTTTTTACACCAACTGTGGCAGAAGATCTTCCAGAAGAAATACTTCAAGGCCTTTCCTGTTGTGTTTATCTGGCTTTCCCTGGAGGCTGCAGAGGAGGGACAATTTTGTCTTTTCCTTTCCTCAAACTGCCCTGATACACGATCTGCTGACCCAACCTGACCAGTCCTTCAACAAAACCGCACTGAGATACAAAAAGGACAGAGAAAACCTGAATTTCTCTTGGGATCAATAAAGTATCTCTCTCTCTTTCTTCATCATATAGAGAACCCAAACTGCAAATAATTGTAGTTGTAGGATCTGTCACCCAAAATGAAGAGCTCATTTTGATATCTGACTGGATAATTGTCTTAAGAATCGTGAATAAATCAACACAGTTATGTTACATGTGTACATTACTTTTCAGTGAAGTAGGTCCATTTATAAGAAAAATATAGCTCTAAGTTATAAAGTGTCTGATATGTTCAATTTTGTTATTACGAAGCTTCACCTGTGACGTTCATGTTTTAAATAATTTCTCATCTTCACTTGTTAAACTCTGGTCAGTCTAATGCAGTGTCACGCGCCTCCAGTCCCCCCTTTAATGAACCTCGTACCTCGCAACGTTGGATCTGACCTTTGACCACTATAACCACTCTGCGGTCATCTCTCACTGCCCGGAACATGGTCAAGACCTGCTCTCATTAAAGACCTCTAAGTAGTATTTGGCTTTCAGTGTCACTCCTCAAGTATCTCCAAAAGTATAAAAGATGAGGTCCTCTAAAGCTATGAACCCAAGAAGAAACTAGAAGATCATTTCGTAAAGGTTGAGCTCTCTGGACCATAAGAAAGTATGTTTTTTTATGACTTATTGACACCAGTCTCTTGCTATTTTTGCTACTTATTTTGAAATTATTATAACCATTCATATTTTTGAGTCTAAGTCTACGTCTGAGTGACCATATATTGCGTTCTGAATGTTAAATTATTAGTGTTTTGTGTTTAAATTGTTTATAATGTGAATCTTTTTCGACAGACATGAGTGGTGTTGCTGTGACTGCGTGCCTGTTCTTTTTGCTATCGGTTTGCTCGGCGTGTTACATCTCCAACTGCCCCATTGGTGGAAAGAGGTCTATTATGGATGCCCCATTGCGTAAGGTGAGTGGATCTTATGTTTCGGTTGGACTGATGGCGCAGATTGGCAGGCTCGTATCTGCCAATCCAGGGCAACAAGCTCACCACCGTCAATTGTGGAGTGAGTGAACAATGCAGTGTAAAGCGTCTTTGAGTGCAGTAGTATTATTTTTTACTATAATTTTATCATTTATATTGGATTAATTGATGCAAATTTCACAACCAACATTTCACTTCCAACCAGATCTTCATAGTTTTGATGAAGCTATCTGATTGGAAGCGAAACGTTGGCATCAAAAGCACTAAGTAAGTTCATTTGTTTTTGTTTAACTCACTGATAACACGCTTATACTGGATGTGAAAATAAACAAAAGTCTGTCGTATCCTGTAGTGCATGTCGTGTGGTCCTGGAGAACGCGGCCGCTGCTTTGGCCCCAGTATCTGCTGTGGGGAGGGTCTGGGCTGCCTGATGGGGTCCCCAGAAACAGCTCACTGTGTGGAGGAGAACTACCTGCTCACCCCCTGCCAGTCTGGAGGGAGGCCCTGTGGATCAGAGGGGGGGCGCTGTGCTGCCTCGGGACTCTGTTGCGATGCTGGTCAGTCTTTAAGTTTCAATAGCAAACATGTTTTCTGGTAGTGAAAGGTGGATTAATACCAGATATTGAATCTTATTGAGGATGCTTCTCATGCAAAATAACAATACTTTTACAAATGCTATTTCTAGATACATTTTTGAATTACATGGCTTATATTTTCATTTATTGGCACGTATATTTAATTTTAGATCAGTTCAAAGATGCTAAGGTAAAACTCTTTATAACAGAAGAGTTTTGATGCATTTTAATACAAAATGCATTAGAATCTGGATTGAATCATTAACGCAATTCCAGCATTGATTAGTCATTGTGCCATAGTATTATACTTAGTATTGGATCTGCTCATATTTCTGGGAAATGTAAGTGTTGTGCAGGTGTTTAAGAACTAACGTGTGCCCATACATGGACAGTTGGTCACCAATAAACTGACCAAAGTCCAAAGCAGTTTCTGTGTCAAACTCCCACAGGCAGTAATAGGAGTTATCAGATAAAAGTAACCACATTACACACACTATGGCACAGAATAAATGAGCTGTCAATAGATTTATATGGTTATATCCTCAGTGTCTATTCTTAACCCTTTAACTTAAGATTGTTTGTTCAGAGAAACATACCAATGTCACAATACTGAAATTCAAACTCAATTTTGATACTGAGAAATAATGATATTCAAGACCAATTCTGATACCACAATAACAATTTAAAATGCTCTTGGTTTTAACTCAAAATATCTGTTTATATTTAGGGAAAGTCAAATTTTGTTATTTTTTGTATCAATACTTGCTCAAATGAGTATCTAGTTTTTACATTTAAGATTCAAGATTTAATTTATTGTTATTTTATGTGCTCATTAAAACGAGAGTTAGTATAAAAGTCAATAGCAGCATGTCAATAAATATCAATAGATAGATAGTCATATAAAAGTCATAGGATCAAAGTGCTGAGTGCCTAATTTAAAAGCAAAGTTTTACTATTGCAAAGGATCTGTCTTTTATGTACTTTTGACACTAGTTTGACACTACTTTGACACTACTACGAGCCCCGATAACAGGTTGTTGGCCTCTGTTGTAGATTGTGCATGATCTCTGATAATGGTGCGTGTTTCTTGTAGAGAGTTGCACCACAGACCAGAGCTGCCTGCCCGAGGAGGAAGTAGAAGACACTGTTGGCCAATACGAGCCTAGCGACCCCAGTGACATCATCCTCAGGCTTTTACACCTGGCCAATCACAACGCAGCGCATAGACTGCACCAATGAGCAGCTCCTGGCACTACAACACCAGGATTGTATTTCTATAGGTACAATAGTTTTCTTTTAGCTCTTTAGAGTACTTCTGTAGAGTGCCTTTGTCTATATTTTTATGTACAAAATGTGGATGACGGTCATCCAGATGCATGCTAAATAAAATTTGGAGAAACTATTACAAAGTGTGTTGTGTTGTCTTTGGCTATGATCAGAACAGTTGGAGTCTAAAAGTGCATGACAGGTCAAATTATTTCTTGGTTAAAGGTTATCAGTACAAAAATACAGGAAGTGGTGGTGAGTTCTAAAACAGAATAATTCTACCACAGACTGTATAAAAAAGTGTGACGTCAACCATAACATTCAGCGCCACTCAAATGAAGCTTGCTGTCAGTTACAGGAGCAAATTTGGAGCCATATATGAATAGGTTTTTTTTTGATGGACAAAATAGCGGGGAAAAAATCCCACCAGGATCATGTATAGCGGATTAATTTGAACATTTTAAGACCAAAATGACAAAGCTCACAGCAGCAGTTGCAGAGAGAGTGTCAGTCAGTGGAAGCCAGGGTTAGTAGGAGCCGGAAGAGCTCACATGTGAACAAAGTGCATTTATCTATACAGTCTATGGCCTCTACTTATGTCATGAACATGGAAAATCCAATCCAAAATTCAGGGACAATTTACTCGCAAGGAGGGCATTTTTCAGTTCAGACCATAATTTAACACAGAAAAGATGTCGTCATTTATTTTCATTAGTCTAACCATAAGTATTGTATAATTTTGACATGTTTGTTAACGCTATGGTTCATAATGGTTATGGGAATACCTGTATGTATCAATATTCCCTGGGGATGACGCTATCTGTAGGTCCTGCTGTGTCTGGAGCTCTCTTAGACTTCAATCAGAGCTTTATTTTAACACAATATGACCAATATAACTCATGCTGTTAAACAAATCCCTATCAAATATCCCTTTTTGTTGAAAATCAAACACCTAAATTGGACCATGGACGCTCGTATTGATCACAAGCGCCTGAGTTTTCTTACGTTTTCAGTTCTCTTCAAACTTTTCTGACAGTATTGCATCAGTTGTGTGCATTATGTCACCAGGGTAACACCTAAACAATCCACCATTAGAGATAGATGTTCAAAACCTCCAGCATGATGTCACTGCAGCGTATCACTTTGTTGCACGTGTTCAACCAAGAAGTTAAATAATTCACAAATATTTTTTTACGCAATGATGTTAACTATATGTTTTATTTAAATGATTAGTCTAACCCGTCAAATGCATTTTAATCCTGATTTATTTGGGGTCTTTACAGATCTATAACGCCGCAGTACAGTGCCTCAGGTTTAGTACAGTCAGCAGACCTTATCAAATACAAAGTGAGCTGTAATCAGTGCGTACAAAGCCCAGAGCTGTGTTTATCTCGTAGATGTTCAGATTTCCATGTCTCTTCGAATCTCATATGACACAGTGAAACATTGACTTTTGCTTGCATCTGATCGTATTTCAATGCTACACCACAAATACACGGGCCCTGGGTAAATGCATTATCTACACTGTGTCATGTGATGTGGCTCACAGATGAACACAATGCTACAGTACGCTTTGTCCGTATAAGAGAATATCCATGAACACACCTGAGTGAAGTATTACTACAATATGCTTTGTCCATATAAGAGAATATCCATGAACACACCTGAGTGAAGTATTACTACAGTATGCTTTGTCCATATAAGAGAATATCCATGAAAGTACCTGAGTGGCATACTACTATAATAAACACTTTGTCCATGTAAGGGAATATCCATGAATGGATATCTACAGTGACCATTCACGTCGAAACCAGTTTATAGCTCAATAAAATTCCCATTAATTCCCTCATAGATAATAAAAATAAATAAATAAAATGTTTAATGACAATCTATAATTAAATTCAAAATACATTTCTGAAACCTTATATAAACCATTTAAAAAACATGCATTGTCAGATTTGTTATGACATAGCAGTTAGTCTTTTGCCATTGGTCTATTTACATTACACTTTTATGATAAAAATGGATGAGATCTTGGAAGTGAGCTGGACTGTTCCTCTAGGTACTGTATCTGGGTAAATGTAATGATGAAAAACATACTGATTTGTGTTGCTAAGTCGTACTAATATGTGACGTCATATGCCCAAACTAAAAACTGTTGAACACTCAAACAGTACATTACTTTAGATAGAAACTTTATATATTTCCTCTAAATTTTGATACACAATAGGTTATATACCCTCTTCCTAATTTGTTAATCAAATGCTCACATTGGTAATACACAGGGAGCCATTTATGAGTCATAGTGCTGTCTCTGCACTGGAAGCTGACTCAAAACAACCAAATCTTTGCAATGAGCTAGACTCCCCATCACTGGAGAGAGAGACAAAGGTTAAAACAAAAGCATTATTTAGCTCTGTTTATGAGTATTTAAATGTATTTTAATCTTCAAAAATATAATAATGGCTTTGAGCATACCGAGTTCTAATGCCATTTAAATGCAATTAGAATAGAATAGAAAGCTTTTTATTGTCACTATACACATGTACAATCCACAGTGCACACACGCAGAATGACATTAAAAGCAACTCACTCTCCAGTGCAGACATGCACGTGGGACACAAGTACAAAAGAAAAAATAGAATAAATAAATAAGTACATAGTACTAGTGCAAGACATAAAAGACTGGGACACCCAAGACTGCAAAACTCAGTCAAGCAAGATATTGTATGGTATTAAATATTGCACTGTGTTAAATATTAAATATTGTCCTTAGTAAAAAGTTGTTGCACTGTATTAAATTGTATAAAAAATTGCACAACAGATGGAGATCAGGGGATCGAGAGGAATGTGGAGAAGGTCAGTGCATGCACTTCATTAAATAAAGGTCCTATATTACATTAAACTGACTCTTGTGAACTTTGAGACATGTTGTAATGTTGGTGCCTCCCCAAAAACATAACTGGAGTTGTGTTTTGATACATTCACACATGTTTGAATAACCCTTTATTATTAATTTGTCTACATCTCTAATGCTCAAAATGCTCTGTTCCACCTTGTGATGTCATGTTGTGATAGTTTTCAAGTTAACACTGACCTGCTTTTACCTTTTGTTCAGGAGAGGTTGGCAATTCCAAAGCCTGAAATCATCTAAATGATGGTAGTGAAGGTTTATGGAGTTTAAAAACACAGTGGAGCACTTCTTCTTGACATCACAAGGTGGAAAGGACTTTTCTCTGTTTGAAAGAAGAATTAAATATGCAAAATTTGTGAGATAAAAATGTGTGAATGAAACTAAACACAACTCCAGGTATATTCTTGATAAGGAAACAACATTATAACATAGATAAGAAAATGTCTTAATATGGTCCCTTGAATTAATTGGGAAATGGATGACAGCAGACTCCTTTCTGGACCAGAACTACCCTAAATGGAAGTTCCAAAATTTCAGACGTAATTTCCTGGTTAAATTGGGGTCAATAAAATGTAAAAAATAAAACAGGTGTGAGCATGACTCAGGTTACTAGAGCCACCTGACATTAATGATTGAAGAGCTGAATCAAGCCTTTAAAAACACCACAGACGTCCACCTTCACACTACTGCAGCCAACATGTCTTTCACTGGGAAATACCTGCTGGATGCCCGGGAGAACTATGAGCTCTTTATGCGAAAACTAGGTAAGAAATTTAACTACTTTACTTTTTTATATTTATATCAGTTTAGTTTAGTTTAGTTAATTATATTTAAAGGGCCCATATGCTCTTTTCCTTCATCACAAACGTTCCTGGAGTTGTGTTTTGTTTCATTCACACATGTTTAACACAAAAACCCTGCATATTGAAGTGTACTCTCAAATCATACTCACACTCTGTTCCACCTTGTGATGTCATGTGGTAATACAGGAAGTGCTCCACTGTGTTTTTAAACTCCATGCATCTTCACTTTGAAAATCTGGATAATTTCAGCCCTGGAATTGTCATTCTGAATTAAACAAAAAGTAAAATGTAGTCGTTTACTTGAAAACTACTGCTTCATGACATCACAAGGTGGAAGAGAGCATTTTGAGCTTTGGAGTTGTAGACAGATTAATAATGCAGGGTTATTTGAACATGTGTGAATGAAACAAAACACTACTCCAGGTATGTTTTTGAGGAGGTAACAACTTTAATTTTGCATAATATAAGACCTTTAAGTGTCAAATATAGTGTAATTAATTCAATTGTGAATGTAGATGTAAACAGAGAAATCTAATCTAATTTTATGTTATAATTGTTTATGTTTACATTTTATGTTTTGATTGTCATGTTAATTGTCCAATCAGAAATCAGAATGAGCTATACAAACAAAACAAACTGGCAACCTCCAGTGGGTCAATTTGATATGGCCTCATTATATGACAGACAATAGGCTCTATTCACATTACATCACAAACCAGGAAGACATTTGGAATGATGCAGTTACAACTTTTAACACATTTTTTCTCTCTATTTTTTTTGTACTCGTTCCAGATAGTTAGTGTTCCAGATTCCAGATAGTTCGTAGAAGAAGTAGAAGTAAAAGATAATTATGTTACAGATAGTAATCTCAAGACCCAACTGTTTAGCTTAACTTTGTGGGAAGGAAATGTGGAATTGTGGAATTGTTTTTAATCACCATTGTTACGACCCAGCTCGTTTGGGGTGAGGGAAGTAACAAAAATAAAACCAAGATGTAAAATGGAATAAATTAAGTAATGTTTAATTAACAGGAATGTAAAGGTAAATTAACAAAACACTAAAAATATACAGAAAACAACCTAAACTAAGAAACAGAACAACAGAATAAACAGAGTTTTGTGCCAGAAAAGGGGTCACGCAGGCTTACACAAAAACGAGTGGTAAAACTTAGGGACACACACTAAACTAAAACACAAGTTCCCCAAATTAAACCACATAAGCCCACAAACAGAATCGAGTGACCAAATCAAAAAAGGCACAAAACTAAACTTAACTACACACACAAACACAAAACAAAATGGCATACTGGCCACCAAGGCCAGCAGCCCTGAACAGGTGCTGGTAATCTCCTTAAATAGGGGGAGGTGGCTGCAGGTGAGGTGGGCGTCGACTTGCCCCACCAATCACAGTCCAGGGCTCCTGCAGCAGGAATCAAGAGAACTCTACAGAAATATTACAACTAAGGCCTGGGGCCGTAACAACCATAAAGGATTTTTTGTTGCATTTTTGTATGAAAAGCGCTCTATAACTAAAGTTTGATTTGATTTGTTTGCAGCCGCAAGTCTGACAAAATCTAGAATTTTTTTTTAAGTGGCCCAGTTTTCTTTATCTACATGTCATTGTAGTGTTCTGTTATGTACGGCTAATCAACCATACCTCAAGTTGTCAGTAAGGGTGCCCAGTGTTAGTAACTACACTGGAAGTTGTAATCGCATCTTTCCAGACATCTTTCTGGTTTGTGATGTAAGCGTGAAAAGAGCCTATAGCATCCCATGTTTGGCTGTTATGTGTTTTTTACTTTATCAAATCAGAATCATATCATATTTTTATGTTTTAGGCATCCCTGAAGATCAAATCCAGTTGTGCAAAGACCTCAAGAGCACTACTGAGATTGAGGAGAATGGAGACCACTTTAAAATTACGGTCACCACAGGACCCCATGTCAGTGTTGTTTCATTCACAATTGGACAGGAGTGCGAAATGCAAGATATGACCGGGGGGAAATTCAAGGTAAGGAGTTGAGAAATACAGATAGTGGGCTTTTAGACTGGCCCATAGGATCAGGAATAGACACTTCTTCAATACTTTATGACAATATGAGTCTGGTCAGTCTCAGTTCAAAGGGGCATGACTCACAGGTGGATAAGCCAATCATTGAAACACATAGTCTAATCATAGTAAACCAAATATGGGTGTTCGTGATGAAAAAGAAATAAAAAAAAATCACAGGGAACAGTACATTCTGAATCTGACTAGAAGTGTGACCATAGATTGTATAAAAAAGTGGACTAAGGGAGTGAATTTGGCCAGGCTCCATATTTATTAATGGACAAAATAGCGAAATAAAAACACCAGGATCATGTAGAGTGGGTTAATTCAAGCAAGACCAAAATAACAAGGCTCCCTGAAGCAGTTACAGAAAGAGCTGTGACAATTTTCCAGTGTAAATTTAATTGCTCACTTCCTTTTTGGAACACAGTAGCTGCTTTATATTCATTTATATATACAGTCTATGGGTGGCGAACATAACATCCCTCTGTGTATTCTGGACTTGAAAGGCAACTTCTTGACATGAATTTTGCAAAATATATATGAATGAATAAATAAAATTGTGTTTTCTAGACTGTCGTCAAGCGCGAGGGCAAGAAGCTCGTGAACGACATAAAAGGTGTCGAATCGGCCACGGAACTGGTGGATGCAAACACTCTTGTCAATGTGAGTGCTCCAGCTTCGTTGTTTGGTAACTTGAGAGATTTTGTTTGTATCAATGTCATGTTTATGACAATCTTCTCTCCTTACAGATACTGACATTAGGAGACATCAAGTGCAAGACAATCAGCAAACGCATTTAAAAACGTGGAATAAGACAAGAATCTGCATAATTTTGCTGTAGCTACCTTGAAAAAAGACAAAATGTAGTGTCAGATGATTCAATATTAGCTTTTCAGCACTACTTAAAAGGTGCACTGTGTAACTTTTCTGCTTGTTTCTATGGAAATGTCACTGGAATGTTCCACACTCTACCTTACATATATTCAGTTACAGTGGTTTTATTGCTCAAAAATACCTTGGAAAAAATCCATTGACTGAGAGGGAGTTGGCTCTGCATAGATCTGACCTGTAACTGGTTTATTCTCCATGAAGATAGAAAGGTTTAATGCCATGCTGTGAAACATTCCAGACAAAGTAATAACATCTCCATGGAGAAAAGCATTTGATGGACCTACCACCCAAAATTTACACAATGCACCTTTAAATGCTGCCATCAACAGGTGAATAAAAAATAAAACAAATAAACTTACAATATCTGCAAATCTGATCAATACAATATTCACAATGTAAAGGAAAAAAAATGTTATTACTGAACTAAATCAAATTGTTAAAGTTACCATGGTCATACCTTAGTTTGATCCATACAGTGTATTGTAAAAGCACAATTTGTGAATAAATGACATTGCATAATATTATTGTCTATTCATTTTAGAAAGCAGATGTTGTATGAAAACCACATGGAAACACCTACTTGTATCTACCCCACACAGTAGTTTTTGTCTGTCATGATTCAACACAAGTGAGAGACTGTACTAAGTCGGCGGGGTTAAAATCATTCTATATCAAATTAAAAGTCTTTTACACTCACGGGTGAAAATCAAGTAAAGGCAAGGCTGAATTCAGTTCAATAACAATCCATGTAGACACGCTCAGTCACGCTCATGTCTCTGCACACTCATTTCCTGTGGACATGCCAAAAGGACACTTGAGCCTTTGACCTAAAAGCAGCAGTCAGATTATCAGCATCATCAAATATTTAAATGCAAGTGTAACACCCGTGTCACTGAATGTAGTATAAATACAATGGGGCATGGTAGTGATATGGTAATGAAGTAGAAGTGTAGTAATATGTACTAGTGACCAGAAGACTTGAATTTGTCTCTAGGAGGGAGTGACAGGAGAGTGATGTTGCTTTTGGTTTGGTACATATATTATAGTAAACAGTAAATGACATACAAACATATAACATAGACAGTTCTGTAGGAATGGCCATTAAATAATATACAATTGTTCAATAATCAACTTCAATTAAGGCACAGCAATGGGTTACTGGGTGCAAAATATATCAAGAGTCCAGCAATGATAAATGCAGTATCTGATTGCACACTATATATCGAGAGTCCACCAATAATCAATTGGTGCAATCAGGAACACTGGCCCTCTCTATATACATATAGAGAAGGGCAACAATATTTGAGAAATCTTACATTCTGTTGATGAATTTGTCTCTTTTTCCTGGACATGCAGGGACAAAACTTGGCAAGGCAATTTGCTTTACAGAATAAGAAAGACATTAAAGGTGCATTGTGTAACTTTTCTGATCAAGAGTCTGTCAAATGCTTTTCTCCATGTAGGTGCTATTGGCTTTGTCTGTAATGTTTCACAGTGTGATATTAAACAGGCCAGATCTGTGGAGAGGCACCACCACTCATAGTCTGAATGCTTGTTTTTCGAGGTATTTTTGAGCAATAAAACCTGAAATTTCATAAATATAAAGGTAAAGCTGTTAAATGTCTCACTGTGGAACATTCAAGGCAGAGAAATTACATCTTTAGAAACAAGCAGGTGACCCCATCCCATCCATAGTGCACTTAAAATTACAATATGAACAAATAAAAACCAAAAAAATCATCAGAAAAGTAACATTAAAAGAAAAGAGTGCAGAATAAAAACTCTCTCTACTCACTCCTACGTACAGCTAAACATTTTGATCCTGGATTTAAAAGGGTTATTAATAAAATAAGAATAATATTAAATATACAACAACAAATGAGATGTTTTTACAGGTAAAAGCAAGTGTGTATACTCACCGTTGGTGTAACTTAGTCTGATATTGATTGTGTTTGTGTTTGTGTACAGTAGTCACGTGTGTATTCTTAGTCTTCTTTAGTTACATTGTTTTTCATATGACAAAATGACTTTGCAAAACATGTTTGCCTCATATCTATTTTACTTTTGATCTATTTTCGTTGCTAATAAATTCTGTTTTTGTTGCAAATATATTATGCACACTTACCCATTCAGTTCGGACTGGGCATTACTCAGACAGTGAGGGGACAGGTATTTTAAATCAGCTTATTTACTTAATTTTGAGATAAACATGTCTCAACACATATTTAAGTTTTAAAGGCAATGTACCTGATTTCTACAATCTTAAAGCATGAAAAACACAACTAGATTATTTTAAACACCCAAAACACCCCACTCCAAAGTTAAACCTCACTTCCCTTACGCATTCAGAGTATCGCAATTATTGACAGTGATGAGTTTATAAGCACTTTTTACAACTCTCAGAATCCAGAGTGGAGTTTGCTGTCACGGTAATGCAACATTTAGCATGCTGAGAGTGCACTTTTTGATTATTGAACAAATAAAGGTTTTATAATTAGACATATTTTGCTCAAATACATGGAATAGAAAATTGGGTGCAGCCCCTCTAATGTGATATTTAACTATGATTATACACGTTGTTCCACCTCCCTTAGCCTCATGTGGTTCCTGTAGCCTACATATGCTCTTTCAACAATGCAAACTCCTCACTGTGCTCTGACAGAAATAAAGTTGTATGATTTTATCTTAAGTATGCCTTCTGAAGCTTCACTCATGTTCCCTTTTTCCGTCCCTTGTATCCTCTGAGCTTTGGGACACTGTCACTTTTTGAGTGGAGAATATACCACCTGCATGTTTCATGTAAATGTGACAATACTGCCTGTGTACTACGTGTCTATGTGTGCTATGTGTCTGGATTTATTTTATTAGAGGTGTGTTAGTGCTCAAACATAACTTGAAAGACATGTATTTTTATAGTGAGTGGATCCACAAGGGCATAGATCTCCATAGAGACAAGCATCTCTCAGGAAAGTTACACAGTGCACCTTTAATATGGAGCATTGGATTGACAGCTGAGGAATTGAAGAGAGGAGGAGCAAGGACAGAGAGCAGGGACACAGCTGAACAGTTTGTGCTGTTTCAGATTTCGCATTACTCTGGTTTGAGAAAATGATTGTTGTGTTCTGTTTCCATGTGCACCTTCTGCTTAGAGAGTCTTACATATGGTTTTCCCAACACTATGAAAGCGGCTCATCTTTATCTCTTCTCTGTGTTTATCAGGAACTTATCTTAAAGATTACCTCACCAGAGTAAAGTACCTCCGCAGTGTAGAGTATGATTTCACAACATATATTAGTACCTCAATATGTCTGAATAAATGTAAATGCATTGTGAATTGTTCAATGTGTTTTTTGTTTTTTTTTTGTTTGTTTTTTTAGTTTTTCTTTCTTATAAATTTTCTGTATTTATGTTAAGCTTAAACTCAAAAGCTTTAGTCAGGATGTTACCACAAATATGGTAAAACTAACTTCTCAGATCACAAAAAGCACGTTTTATTTCTCAGTACAGTTAAAAAATGTAGTGGAGTACTCGTTTATCACAAAATCAGAGCCAAATTTCATCCTGTAAAGTTTGAACTCTGCTCCAAACTACGAGTGTTTACTAACAGAGGCCTGACTGAGAAACAGCAAAGATGAAGAAAGAAGGAACAGAAATCCATGAGGTCAAAGGTGAGGTGGGTCAGAGGGTTACCAGCACAAGATAAAAAGGCAAGAAAAGCATTGTGCAATTGTGCAACTTTGGGCTTTATTTATGAGTCTTTTATTTTAAAGGTGCACAGTGCAACTTTTCTTGAGAGGGTGTACAACCGGTTTGTCTCCTTGGAGATATTAATGCTTTAGTTTAAATTGTTCATTGTCTTGCATTTATTCTACATACATTTATTGCTCAAAGATATCTAAAAAAAATATCCATTCTTACTGGGGTCACCTCTGGTTTGCAAGTCTCCATGGAGATTCTTAAGTTTATGGCCATACTGTGGAACATTCTAGGCCCATCTTCATTTCCACCAGACAAGTTACACATTGCACCTTTAAAGTACATATAGGTTTTAAGTTTTCTGTAATTATTACTTAGTTTGGTGGGATAGTTTAGTTTAGTTTATATGGTAATCCTTTATCATAGTTTAACATGTGGGTAAGTAGAAGTTTGTGTATTTAAAAAACATACAAAAATATATAAAGTAGCACTGATTTACACACAATTAAGGCAATTTCTGACAGTTTAAACCTCCATTTAACAAAATAAAGCTGTTGTCTTTTATTTTTATTAGACTAATCATAACTATTGCGTAATTTAGATTTAAGTTTTAGCCCCTTTTTAACATTATGGTTGCTAGGTAACAGCTCCAGCATTACCTCCAGGTATATCTGCTACTCTTTTTGAACCAAATAAAACGTTAAAGTTGCATTGCGTAATTTTTCTGATGGAGGATACATCACCTTATTGTCTCCATGATGAATATGTTATTGCTTTGCCTGAATGTTCCACAGTTTAGCATTATACTTTTCTGTCTCCATGGAGAGAAGCAGGTAGTGCCACCATGAAAGTTTACGGGTGAGATCTGTGGAGTGTAAGAATGCATGTTTTTTGGGGGGTTTTGAGCAATAAAAATACATGTAATTGCATTAATACTTGATCGGTTGAATATTGTGTAATATTGCAGGCAAAGTGATAACATGCAGTAGTGTAACCTCAAGCAGAAAAGTTTAAATGTAAAACTTAAACTTCAAACATTACCAGGTCAAGTAAAGGCGATAGATAATGGGAGCGCAGACAGACCTGATCATCACACGGCTTTTCTAATCACAGGCACCTGGAGTTAATGATTGAGGAGCTGCTCCTATAAAAGCAGAACACACACTCTGCTCCTGTCCACCTTCACTCCACTGCTACTGCCACTGCAAACATGTCTTTCTCTGGAAAATACCAACTTGAGTCTCAGGAGAACTTTGAGCCTTTCATGAAGGCAATTGGTAAGATATGTCAGTCATTTATTTTACATGTTTAAGTTACAAGATTTGTGTTAAATGTTTCAGTGTCAGCATGTAGAAGGTTTTTAGTTTGCATTTTAGTTTACGCTTTTGCATTAAGTTCATGTAAAAGTTGTTGTGTATCAGGTTATAGCTAAAAGGATAGTTTCTGCAGTGTTAGAGTTGCAGGAATAAATGAATACAACACAATTGCGCGCACACACACAAATTAAAAACAATTTTGTATATTGATTCTTCATTGATTATCTAATGAGAAAGCTGAGAACTAGGTTGCCAAATCTTACAACTAAAACTCCTTTTTATGCTTTTTTTTTTTTTGTAGGTCTCCCTGATGAACTCATCCAGAAAGGCAAAGACATCAAAAGCGTTTCTGAAATTGAGGAGAATGGAGATCACTTTAAAGTAACAGTCACTACGGGAAGCAAAGTCCTGGCCAATTCATTCACACTCGGTCAGGAGGCTGAGATCGAATCAATCACCGGAGAAAAAGTCAAAGTAAGTTGTTTAATAAAAATGCATCTAATTCACTTTGGTAATGCAAAAGTTAAAGCTGTGTTGTGCTTTTTAGGCAGTGGTGAAGCGTGATGGCAACAAACTTATTACATCTTTGAAGGGAATTGAATCTGTCACAGAACTGGTGGACGCCAACACTATTGTCAATGTGAGTACTTAAAGGTTTACTGTGCAACTTTTTCTTTTGGAGGGTCTGCCACCTGCTTTAATTTGTATAAAATGCTTCAAAGTATGGCACAAAATCTTCATAGAGACCAAAACCAGGCTAAGTTGCAGGTCAGCTCTGTGGAAAGGCAACCCCATTCAGTCAGACTGCCTGTTTTTCTGTGTACATTTTGAGCTATAAAACTACCTGTAATTGAATAACTGTAAGGTAGAGCTGTTTAATGTCACACTGTGGAACATTCCAGGTAATTCACTGACCTATCCATTGAAACAAGCAGGTGATGGACCCCCCCCAACCAAAAAGTTGCAGAGTGCACCTTAAGATTTTATTAACTTTTATTTTTTTTATTTGCAATCTTCAACTTGTGTATTCCTTTCTCCCTGCAGGTTCTGACAGTTGGTGGGATCCAGTACAAGAGGATAAGCAAACGTATTTAAACACTTGAAAGCATAATAAAAAAAAAAAGTTTAAAAACTGGAATTTGTCTCATTTGTTAAAGGCCAAAGTTCAAAAGGTCAAATGATCAGAGTTCTGTATTAAGCAGCTTCTAAAGGGCACACATTTATAGTTTGATGAGGAAACAAATCAATCCTGGAATTGCATTTCGTCATTCATGCATGTTAAACACACAAACCCTGCATATTTAGTCTTTCTCTCAAAATGAAACACTGTTCCACCTTGTGATGTCATGTAATAATGCAGGCAGTGTTCCATTGTTTCTAAACTACATACTTTCACTAAAATCATTTGGCTTTCAGACCTGGAAATTGCTGGTCTGCAACATTTTAACATTGCTTAAAGCTCACATAAATTGTTTAATATAAGACCTTTTAAATATGCATTTGAATCAGAACCTAAAGAGTTTTTCACTTCAAATAAACTAAAGAGATAGGAGGGATATACATTAAGGAATTATCTGCCCTGAATATAGTGAGTATTAATGACACTTGATACTTTAATTGCATAATGATGGTGACCTATAAATCCTTATTGCTTTATGAGTTTGGCTTGGTACTCACCGGGCATTTGAAAGACTTATAATTGAAGATAAGAGGTGTACTATAACAGCCTTTTGTCAAGGTTGTGCTTGTAAATGAATGTGAGGTAAATATGAACGCACGTGTATGATTCAGTAAATATATGGGTAGCAGTAAAAGTATGCTGCTAGAAAAGTACACAATTAAGAAAAGTACAATTAAAATATGACTAATAATTTTGCCTCAACTATTCTACAGTATGGAAATAAACTTGGTAAACACAATGGTAACAGGTGAATGGTCAAATCTATGGAGAAGCAAGCCTGCACATGGTAAGAATTCATGTTTTAAGGTATTTTTGCTCTATAAAACACATATTTAATTGATCAAATACACGGGATAATACTACTCCCTACTGTGGAGCATTCCAGGTAAAGTCAGTGCACCTTTAAGCGGAGGTGGGACCAAGTCTTTGTTTTGCAAGTCTCAAGTAAGTCTCAAGACTTTGACCTCAAGTCCGGATCAAGTCCCAAGTCCAATACAGGCAAGTCCAAGTCGAGTCTCCAGTCTCTGGCCCATAAGTCCAAGTCCAGTCTAAGTTGTCCGTTTTGAGCTTCAAGTCATTTCAAGTCTTTAAACTAAAGTACCAAATATAGCTCAGAGTTTTGCAATTTAAATGAATTTTAAGATCAACTATACTTAAAAACAATCATAATATATTTCTATATGAGTATTTATAGAGTATATAAGAGTTGTAGAAATGCACATTTTTCCTTTTTAAATGTCTTGACAAGCTCTTAGTGTGAATCATTAGTCAGAATAAAACAAATTCAGATTTAAAAGTGCTTCTCAGGTCTTCTCAAGTCAAGTCCCAAGTCTTAGTCCATTTAATCAAGTCAAGTCTCAAGTCTTAAAAATAGTGACCCAAGTCTGATTCGAGTCCATGTCAAGACTTGCAAGTCCCCATCTTTGCCTTTAAGTAAATGTACTACTACCCACCTTTGACTAAAAATACTGATAAAACTGGTGGATATTAACACAAAACATAAATGAATGAAAAGAACAAGTGCAGTTTAAATGTGAAGTCACATAATTTATTAAAAGTTATATTACAAAAAGTGAACAGTTGGACATGCTTAGACCATTAGGCAAGCAGAAAAGTGTAAACAAAATGGCAAAGAGTGGCTTATTTTCTCCGGTGGAACAAGTTTTTGATGCCTTCCTCCACAGACTTGGGTTCATTCATCATGGTCATGGGTCTGTTCTTCAGAGCGGCCTCTCTCATGCTGTAGTACACGTATTCATTCTCCTTAAACATCCTCAGCTCCATCTCCGTCTGCATCCTCATTTCCTGTGGACAAGCCAAAGGGACACATGAACATTTGGGGTTTGCAGGAAATGATCAGATTAAATTTTTACGTTTTCTAAAACATGAACTGTTGCCACTTTTAAACTTTTGTAACCTTTATAGTTTGGCTAGATTTTGGAATCCGTGTATCATTTGTTCGTTTGTTTTTCAATATAAAACCAAAAATAAGAAGACAAAAAAACAACTATTTTCTTTTTCATTTGTCTCCAAAACCAAAATGAAAAAAAAAACATGGATGATTTCTTTTTTCAGTTTTTGATTTTGTGTATAAGCGAATAATGGAAAAAATGGATAACGGCTGTTTCCCGTTTCCATGACATAAACTGCAATGCCGGACTAAACCAGGACTGAACCAGGACTGAACTGGTCTGGTCCCGGTCTCAGTCCTGGTTTCAGTCCCAGTCTGGTACTGGTCTCAGTCCCAGTCTCAGTTTTGATGCTGTTCCTGGTCTCAGTCCCATTCTCAGTCTCGGTCTCAGTCCTCGTCTCAGTTCTGGCCTCAGTCCTGGTCTGATCTCAGTCTCTGTCCCGGTCTCAGTCATGGTCTGGTCCTGTTCTGATCCCGTTCTCAGTCACTGTCTCATTCCTGGTCCTGTTCCCAGTCTCAGTCCTAGTCTCAGTCCTGTTCTCAGTCCTGGTCTGGTCCTGATCTGGTTCTGGTCTCAGTCCCCGTATCAGTCCTGGTTTAGACCTGGTTCAGTCCTGCTTCAGTCCGGCATCTCAGTTTAAGTCACAAAAATGGGAAATGCTCGTTATCCGTTTTTTCCATTATTCATTTAAACACAAAATTGAAAACTGAAAAAACTCATTGTTATCAATTTTTTCATTTGGGTTTTGGAGACAAATAAAGAAGAATATAGTTGTTTTTTTCATTTTCTTATTTTTGGTTTTATCTTGAAAAACAAATAAACGAATGATACACAGATTTTTCAGTCAACCCTATCATTTATTTATACAAAACAAAAATCCACAAGATCTCTCCATATTTTGTTCATTATGAGTTCTACAGTACCCAAATATGTTATAAATCCATTTAATTGTTTGATTAACTTGTCGACTAAGATAATTAACAACCAGTTGAGCCTTGGTCTTGGTAAAATAAAAATAAAAAACACAGTATTCATGTAATAGGTTGTTACCTCGAGGTCCTTGGTGATGGGGTGTGTGGGTCCATGTGTGATCATTAGAATAGCATAGGCCTTGCAGATCATCCCATGTCCAGTTTCAATTTTCCCAGCCTGCCAGTGGTTCACTCCAGCTCGCATGGCAGCCATACCCAGAGCCGCATTGTTTGGGTGGTAGATTTTCCTAAACAAATTAAAGAAAATATACATGAATGAATATTAAAGTTAAATGTTATAAGTTCACTTTTGGACCTTCAAGCATCCTCATGGTATTGGTAAATGGTCACATTTTTATCTAGCGCTTCTTCACCTTCAAGGCACTCAAAGCACTTTACATCAAGGAACCACTCACCCATTCACAAACACATTTATACACACAGGGGAGAGTTGGATTGAGTCTCTTGGTCTCCCAATTGAGATACTGCCATGTATAAAGTATTTGATAAAACCTAATTCGTCTTGATTTCTGGGCTTATACAACTCCACAATTGCCACAGAAGGCATAAAAATCAAGACAGCTAGACTGATAAATCGATAAATAATCTTTTACTTCTTTAATTAACCTATGTGTTCAAAGTTATTTCGCCATATTTGTACAACATTTTCAAGATTAGTTGCATTTTCTAGATTCAAACTTTTTTTTTTAGCAATCTAACTAATAAAACAACTTGAGAGTATAAAAGATGTATTCATGCCTTCTGTACTTACATGTATCCGTCCACCATTTTGCGTGAGTATTCTGCAGCGTCTTCGTTGTACTGAAGGTAAGCCTGGACTTCACTCATCGTGCTCCACATTCTGATCAGATAGATGTGAGTGTCAGCCAAAATGGGCTCTGTTTTCTCAATAGTTTCCCTGCAGATTTTCACCACCTAAAATGCAACATATAGTGAGTTTATATATTTAAAGGTCCCATATTATAGAAAATTGACTTTTGTGAGCTTTTAGTCATGTTGAGTGTTTTTACCTAATCAAAAACGTACCCAGAGTTGTGTTTTGTTTCATTCACACATGTTTGAGTAACACTTTATTGTTAGTCTGTCTACACCTCCAAAGCTCTAAATGCTCTGTTCCACCTTGTGATGTCATGAAGAGGTAGTTTTTGGGTACCTTTTACCTTTTGTTCAGTAGAGATGGTCAATTTCAGGGTTGAAATTATTTGAATGATTCTAGTGAAGCTGTGTGGAGTATAAAAACACAGTGGAGCACTTCCTGTATTACCACATGACATCGTTAGGCTTTATGTTTGAGAAAGTTAAACATGTGTGAACAGAGGTGGCGCTACCATTAGGCAAAGTTGGTGCTTGTCTAGGGCCCCCAAACCTAGAGGGGCCCCCAACCAATTGCCCTCAGTGCCACTAATGGTCAAGGCCTCAGAGCAATTTGATTTTCTCTCAGTATGACATTAAATGAGAGTAGTTTACTTTTAAACAATAATCATAAGAAAAATAATAATCATATGTAATGAATGTAAACAAAAATGTAATTGTACTAGCAAAAAAATAAAACTACTTTCAGTTCTGGTTATCTTGTAGGCGACCGAACTAAAGACAAGTTTTCAATCCACCATAATTCAGATAAATAGAGATGTGCATGTCTCAAGACAGAAAAACAGACAATAAATACATTAAAAAAACAAAACAAAACAAAACAAAAAATGGTGCATTATAGTGAGGTCCCCAAACTCAAGTTCGCTTTGGGTCCCCAAATTTCTCACTCCGCTACTGCATGCGAATGAAACAAAACACAGCTCCAGGTATGTTTTTGATGAGGAAGCAACATTATAACATGGATCAGAAACTAGTGTAACACGAAAACTTTAAAAAGCCATATTATGTTTGTAGTGAAACTTGTATGTTCCCTACTTCATGATAGTCGCCTCTTAACCGAGCTTGGTCCATTTTCTCGAGCATTTGATAGCAGAAATCTGTGGCTTCTTTCACCTGTTCTTCTGTTGGCTGAAAGAAGAAAGTAAATTAGTTTCACTGGGGGCACATTAGTCAACACTGGGGGCAAGGTAGGTTAAGTGTCTTGCCCAAGGATACAGTAGATGAACACGCTATCAACTGAGCTAGTGTCATCCCGAATCAATTATAAACTACAGGAAAAAAATGTTTCATAGTTTTTTTTTTTGCAACTAAAACTAACTTTGCAATGCGTCTCTGCTGACTTAAAATGTCACAGGCATATTTGATGTTGTTTTGTGGCAACATCGATCAAACCATGTAATAAGTAATCTGAAACTGTTAAAATAGTTAATGCAATATGAAACTTAAACTGTCCTTTTACAAAACAACAGGATTGCTAATCAGTAATTTCCCTTATGGATTAAAAAAGTTTGTCTAAGTCTAAGCATTTTATTTTATTTATTGCAGATTGCATATTTTATTATTACCTTCACTAAAATGTAAATGTGATCAATATTTGCTTGGGGGTTGTATGTGATTTGGAGCACACACACTTCATCTCTAGGGACTTACTACAGTCACCAAAAATAGCCTCTACGTCTCAGATACCATTCTTGCCCTGTCAACCACGTCACTATTATGGTTCACACTTCCAAACACTCCACATACAACTAAACCAGGAACTAAACCAGGTCTACATCAGGGCTAAACCAAGTCTACATCAAAACTAGACAGGGCTGGAACAAGAGAGAACTAAACTAAGAAACCAAGAGAGAACACAGACTAAATCTCTCCTAAGCCCTGTTAGCACAAAACACAGAAGTTATATTAAATGGATTATTGAGAGCTTGTTGCAGCTCCAAGCCTCCAGTTCTGACTTGTTTTGTGTGTTTTCATTTATTTTGCGGGCTGTCTTGATTCCTGCTGTGGGAGCCCTGATCCGTGATTGGTGGGTTACATCTATCACACCTGCCAATCCTGCCTCACCTCCAGCCTCCTCCCCCTATTTAAGGAAATTGCCAGCATTTGTTTGGGGCTGCTGGGCATGACCAATCTGCTGTTTTGTGTGTTTCAGTGTGTCTCGTTCGTGTCAGTCACTCTTTTTTGTATTAGTACGTGCCTGACTTTGTTCGTTGTGTTGAGACACTTGTTTAGTTTAGTTCTGTTTTGTGCCTTTTTTATTTTGTCACTCCATTCAGTTTGTGAGTTTATGTGATTTTACTTTGGGGCACTTGTGTTTTAGTTTTGTTGTGTGTCCCTTAGTTTAATCACTCATTTTTATAGACCCGTGTGACCCGGTTTTTTTTGTGTTTGTTTCAGGTTATTTTCTGTATATATTTTAGCCTGTTTTGTTAATTAACCTTTTACATTCCTGTTAATCAAACATTAGTTAATTTATTCCATTCTCCATCTTGGTTCTTTTGTTGAGCTGGGTCATAACAGAGTTATAAGACATGTTATAATGTTGTGTCCTCATCAAAAACATACCTGATTCACACATGTTTGAGTAACCCTTTATTATTAGTTTGTTAACATCTCTAAAGCTCAAAATGCTCTGTTCCACACTGCAATGTCATGAAGCTGTAGTGCTCAAGTTGACAACTACATTTTACCTTTTGTTCAGTAGAGGTTGGTAGTTCCAGGGCTAAAATCATCCAAATCATTCTAGTGAAGGTGTATGGAGTTTAAAAACACAGTGGAGCACTTCTGTATTACCACATGACATTACAAGGTGGACCAGAATGTTTTCAAGAACTCAGAAAGAATTTGTGTGTTAAATGTGAGAATGAAACAAAACACAACTCCAGGTCTGTTTGTGATGAGGAAACAACATTATCACATTGAAGAAAATAACATAATATTGCATCTTAAATGCACATTGATGCTAACCTTGACTCCATCCACTTCTCGTCCTCCCAACTTTATATCGTCTTTGGTGTGGTTTGTGCAGTGTTCACACGTGCAGTCGAAGAAGTACTGCACTTTCAACAGTCTCTTTCTTTCCTCGGATAAGTTGATATAGTCCACATAGGCCACAGTCAGCTCCTCCCCCTCTGCGATTTTCCCCAAAGCGCGCAACTCAATCCTGAATAAGAACACATGAATTACATCTCACACATTAATACTATAGCATACACTCAAAGCTGAATTAGTGTTGATACTAATGTTTTTGCAGGTGAAATATACTTTCTTAGAGTGTGTCCTTAATTTCAGTCAATGCAGCTGTCATTCAAGCCAAAAAGTGGACATAACAAGATGAGCTTATACAGTGTGTGCTACTAAAAACACTGAAACGCCTATTGAAAAAAAATCAACAAAATATTTCTAATTAGATTAAAATAGACAGATAAGCAGTGGTACTTTACTTAAATCATTTTTCAACTAGATACTCTTTACTTTTACTTCACTATATCTGAGAGTGGGTATCTGGACTGAAAAGTAAAAGTATTTTAGTATAGAGTATAGTATAGTATTGACCTGCTGAAAAGGCTGCGGGGTTTATTTTTAACAAATTTGCAATTTGAACAAACTAAAATATACAAGTACTAATAAAAACAGTGAGGAAAAAAGATTTAGTCAACTGTTTCTATTGAACACAATTCACAAATTTGCAAAAAAAAAACCAAACACTTAAAATGTTTTACTTTCAAGTACTTTAATACTTTTACTTGAGTAGATTTTTTCATGTGATACATTTACTCCTACTTTTTCTTCGTTTTGATATCTGTGCTTTCACTTACGTAACAAAATAAAGCACTTCCATCCACCACTACAGATAAGATGTTGGTAATTAATTTCATTTCCATGTATATATTGGCTATTAAAATGACCTTATTGTTTCTATAATTACTCATGGAACAGGGTTTAGTTTCTGTTAAAAGCCAAAAAGTCCTTCTCAAACCATACACATATGAAATGCGTTGGAACGTGAAAAGGTTCAATGAAACCACAAAAAATGTCAGCCAAGTTGCATCTTGTTTCATCATTTTTGGCTTAAATAGAACAAAATTACATTAGTTCTAAACACATAAAAGCACAGGTAGTTTAGCATCTTTACACTTATGTTATTTTGATAATACACTTCAGAACAAGGGTCGGGGGTGACACGAAGAAAACACAAAACTATGAAAACTGACGCTACTGTTTAAAATATGTTAGAGATTGTTATTCATACAATATAATGTGATCATATTACACATTATAGGAACTACACACTACTATCCAGTTATGCAGTTTACTACGAGTATGTGGAGTGAGTGAGGTAAGACGTTAATGTTACTACTATGTACACCTAAAGTTAAAACTGTACGGTTGCTAAGTAGGGGTGGGCAATATTGACAAAAATGAATATGCCAAATATATCTCAAAGGCAAATTTCTGATGATATTTTAAGAATGTTTTAGGAATGTACTGTAATGTGCGTGTCAAAAATGTGGATTAACCATAAAATTAACCATAAATGTTGCTTATTTGGAAGATTATACAAGCAATTTTGGATCATTTTATGTTTTAATAATTTCCTTTTGTTGTCAATTTTAAACATTTTCATTATAGACGATGCACTTTATGTTGTAATTTATGACAACAACAATTGCGATACTATCCATTTTCGATACATATCTCCCACCTCTGTTGCTAAGGTTGCTCTAAATCAGTATAAACACATTTCTGTTGAGGTAACGCACCTCTGTTGAGAATGATATAAAGTATTCACAGCCGATTGACTGAAAGATAAACAGGAAGCAGTTTACACCAATCACAGACTTAACAGACAAGAAGACAAAAAACAAAGACAGACTTGAGCTCATTAGCACTTTAAACCGTGTATTGAGCTTAAAATACTCACTTTCCGTGGTTGAGAATGACCGTGCAGTTGGGCCAGCAGTCGTGATTCACCAGACACAGGTTTGGGAACAGGCCCACCCCCACGGCCTGAAGACCCCTCTGATCGCTCACCGTGAAGCCATTACAGTTAATCTGAAAGCAAAAGAGAGAAATATGGTTATAATTTGAACTTTTTCGCTCCCATCATAGTAGTATAGATGTTGTTAGAAATGTTTCAGTCAAAGTACAGTACTGTAAACCCAAACATTCAGTGTAATTAAACAGATTAAGTTGTGTATACTCCAAGTTTTAGAAATAGTCCTACTAATTTAATCATGTCAAGTTGCTGTAACTTGTTCTTCTTTTTGAGTAATTTAACCAATATTTTTTTTATTCAAGGGTTATCAAAAGGTACAAGTCCAACCATCCAACCTTTTCAGTTCTGCAAGATTGTGACTTTTAAGTTCATTAACTTAATAATTGAGGTAATGGATTAACTCAAAATTCTGGTAATTTATTCGAGTTTACAGTGAGGTAATTGATGAAATGCAAGATGAATAAGAAAAAATTACATAGTGCTTCTTCAGATCAGAGTCATATTTTTACACACTTTACATTAATATAAACTAGTTTATTTACTTAAAATATTTATTTATTTTCAGTAAGTAGATGGGAAAATATCTTTCTTAATTCATTTAAATCGGGTCAATTCAAAGCACTTTTTATTTTAAGTCTGCTACAAATATTTACTTTCAATTAAAATTATTTAGCTGGGAAAAGATGATGTAATACTTTAATTTAACCATGTCAGCTATTAATTCAGTTGAGTGTATTTCTATTCACACCTAATATAGCGTTTACACAGAGGCAACAGCTGACAGAGGCCTGTTATTGCAGCTGTCAGTCAGAGCTATTGTTCTCAGTCATGTGTTGCTACTCCACTGTGTGAGTAGTAACAGACACTCTATTTATAGAGTTTATACTGAAGCCTATAACTTTACGTATTTGTAAAAGTGAAATGAAATTCAAGTTTTCATTGAATGCCACTGAAAAATGTTGGAAGTATATTCAATTGTGAGTTGCAGAGATTAGTAACTTGATTTGCAATTTGTTTTCAAATCCAGATTAATTTCAGAAAGGGCACCTCCAGGAGCATGAACATTTGAGAGAAGATTGAAATATTACCTGCTAAGTTAAAACACAAAAAGAGTGTTGTAAATAATGATGAATAATGTTTTTATGACATCATAATGCTAAACTATTCAGATTGCAATTTAGATTTGGTTGATCCTCCTGGTGAATTGGCCAACATTATCTTTTTTTTACAGTTTTATTTATACATTTCAATAGCATTTTTTTTTACTGCAAGTTTAAAATCATAGACTGTATAAATGGACATTGCGTTTCAAATGGGAAGTGTCAGGGCACGCTTCCGGGTCCACTGACTCTGGCTTCAATTGACTTTCTATTGAAAAATGACTACTCCAATTTTGCCTCTATAACTGCTTGCCTTGATGAGCTTCATTTGACTGGAGCTGAACACTATGGGTGACGTCACACTCCCTTAGTCCACGTCTTTATAAAGTTTGTGTTTCAGATCTAAAAAGCTGTAAAATCTCTACAATTATAACTCCCATAACTTACATTTTGGTGTGACCCGATATTTAATTTCTGAGACTAAATTAAGATGTGTTGGCACTTAAATAACTGAACAATTCATGCTGCTGACCACCAGTTTGTAGCATTTCCGATATGAAGATAGCATTTACTAGACAACCAAAGTTAAAACTATAGAGTACAGATCCCTGGTGTAAGAATATAAAAACCCACCACTCCAAATATGTGTGAGATGACGTCTATTGTGTGCTGCTTGCTGTTGCGGGGCCAGTAGTCCAGGAAGTTATGGATGTCCACTTTGAACTCTTTGAGCTCATCTTCTGGCATGTCAGTGATATGGTCCTCCAGCTCGTCCAGCGTGGTCAGCTGCATATCAGACACTTTACTGCCATCTTTGTCCAAACGCCACATGATCCGAGCCACCAGACTAAAACACAAGCAAATGAACCCGTGTGATTTCAAGGCTCATTTTCAAGACTTACTTATCTGATCTGATGTTGACAGGATAGCATTTGTTTGTCTGACTTTGCTGCACATCAATTTCCCTGCACATCAATAATGAAGTTCAAAGTTGAAAGTTCAATTACAACATGTGTAGAGATGTAAACTTTGATAAGATAGGTGGAGTGAAGGGGATTTCTCTCTATTAGATAAAACACCTCATCAATAAAATCATTCATTGGGTTGTGCTTTTATCTTCCAGGTATTTCTTGTGAAAATATTAATACCATAGACTGTAATTGTAACGGAAATAGCCTGCAGACCTAACATTCTCTGGTCCGATAACAATTGTTCATTTGCAATTATTTTTTCAGAGTGGTTGACTTTTCTTTGTTATCTGTCTATTTTTTCTTTTCCAGTTTATTATAATCATGAATGAAGCTCTAGTAAGTTGAATTTCCTTCAGAAATAAATTATATATACTCTGCAGAGAAAAATGGGAAAAATGTTGACATTAAATAAAAAAAATTTGAAAAAATTGTGCAGTTTTTCTTTTAAATATTTAAGTTGAACCAAAACAGTTAATTACATTTTTTATTGGATAAAAAAAAAAAAAACTCATTTAACACTAAATATTCAAATAGAAAATATTATTATATAATTATATATTATATTTAGTTTATGTTCAAAATTATTTTTTAGCTCTGTATTGAAATGGATGCCCATGTAATCCTTCAGTCGTCCAGGCATGGTCCATAACAAAAGAAAAAAAGAATTCTATCTACTCAACAAAACAAAAACAAACAAATTTAAAAAAAAAAAACAAAAAAAACAAAAAAACAGAATTTATTTTTCTATTGCTATAAAACAAATGAATATTTATCTTTCAAGACTCATCAAGATTGTGACCCCCTCACATTCTCCTCTCATACACTGTCTCTTATAAAAACACAAAGTGAAGTCTCTGCTCACCGGATGCTCTCATTGGGTGCTTTGCCGTAGGCCTTGATAGCAGCACATTCCTGCTTGTGTTCGGTCCACCCGGCTCTCTGGCAGGTTCTGTCACAGTAATGGGCGAATTTGCACTGGCCACATCTTTGGAGCTTGTCTTGTCTTCGGAAACAACTGTGACAGATGCGCTCTGCAAGGCTGAAGAAACAAAATGTACAGACACTTATGCTGAGAAAATAAAACACAAAACCTGGAAGAAACAGTTCATCAGGTTGATCCACATAAAAATTAAAAAAAGGTTGTATTTTAGTTTAGATAGATAGACTTTAAAGCAGGGGTGTCCAAACTTTTTTCATCAAGGGCCACATATCTAAACACAGATAAAGCAGAGGGCCGATCGAGGGCCGTAGACTGGAGCTCAGTACAGTGAATAAATGAAATTTGTGCATGTTTAACACATTAGAATGAACCATCATCCACCATCGTCTTTATTCACGCTTAAAGATCCTTAAAATCACACACTAAATATTAAATATTAGCTTTATCAAGGTAGATTTTCAGAAAACTTGCAGTAAAAAAATATTTTAATTTGATGCAAGGTAATTTGGGCCATTTCACCTGGAAGTCTGAGGGCCAAGAAAAAATTGTCTGAGGGCCACATTTGGCCCCCGGGCCATAGTTTGGACATGCCTGCTTTAAAGGATTAGAAATGCATGCTTACTTAGATAAATCAATCAATATGCCTTTATGCATATTATTATCAAGAAAATACTGACCATGGTTCCTGGTAATTGGCCGTTTTCATGGGTTAGGTTTATAATTATTTAAATTTTACCATGAAATAACATATAATGACAGATCTGCTCTTTTTAAACGAGTTTATGAGTTATGCAACTACCATGAAATCACTTATCACATATCACATATACATATACATATATTAATTTTTTCTTGTTTCTAACTGACATAGAAAGCTCTTGTGGACTTTAAAAGAGTTAAAGTAAAAGTATTCTTACGTATCAAATACAACAGCTGCAATGCTTTGCTCGGAAAAGACAACATCTCCAGCCCAGAATTCTTTGGTAGCCCTGAGCCCTCTGCCTTTTCCTGGTGAATCAAATATCTCCACTGTGTCCATGATGCCTGAAACCTAGATAGTTCCAAATGAATGAGAAAAGTTTTATGGAAGTCCTCTCTTTGCCCTTTCAGTCCCTTACAAATGACAACTGCTCACTCCACACCCAGGGGTACTAAAATAGCTCTGTCACCTCTTGGCAGTACCATGACACACAAGCAAGGTTAGGGAACACTTAAATACTAGCTCTCTTATACGCAATTTTTACTTTTCTATAATACGTTTTAATAGCCACAAACATTTTTATAAGCTTCTTTTTTTATTCAAGTTTAAATCTAATAACAATTTGAAGTTTTAAATGTATCACAAATGACCCCCCTATACTAAATGAAGGTGGTATGTACCCAGGCCCTTTTGGTTATTTTTGTCTCTCAGTTGCTGCTGTCTGTCAAGAGCCACTGGTGACGTTGAACAGCTGCGAGAAGTTTGGCGAGAAGAGATTTGTGTTATCAGACTCTGCTCCACTCTTCTGGTGCCTTCTCCAAGGTGCTCTCGGCTTCCCATTGCAAAATAGCATTTAGAAATAGAACCGTGAATAGAAAGTTGTAAGGTCATTTGCGAACGGAGGTGTGGCTAGGTCTAAGCAGCCATAGGGCAAAAGTTAGTAAACCATTATACCACCATTGTAAAAATAATAATAATAATAAATCACAAAAACAGACCCTTTTCATTGTGGACTCTATCTGAATGCTGTTTTTGCTGATTAATTAACCAAAAATACCAATTAATAGTAAAATAATAATCACCATACAAACAGTAGTGGTCTGAATATTGAACCTTGCAGAACACCTCATGCAATAATTTCTCACTGATCAAAAATATGTAACATTTTCTGAGCCAGGCAATCTAGTGCCTCCGATCTATTTCATTTCTCTTCAGTGACTAGGTCAGGTATTGTAATACATTCGACGGTTTGCAAGAACCCCGGAAGTTGTAGACCATGCAATGGCCAATTAGCAATGAGCTGTGAAGCCATGATGTCAAACTCAAGCGCCTGTCTGGGTCCCTTTTGTGGTAAAACACAACAGTAAACAAAGCGGTCGAGATGGATGTAGACGAAGTCAGACATTCTGTGTTGGCAACGATTCCCGAGATCAAGGATTTAAAGCCAGAACAAAAAGAATGTTTGGTGAATTTTATTAAGGGGAAAGACGTTATTGCCCTTCTTCCTATGGGATTTGGTGTATTACATACATCACAACCAAACAGCAGTGATTAGTTAAACAAAAAAGTACCCGCCTACCGTTGAGCAAACAAATCCTAATGCTGTGAGGTCAGATGGTTTCCACGAAATGAAACCGGCTGATGAATCAGGCTAACATTTTCCTTCTGGTCTAGTAGAAAAATATGAATGGGAATAAACATTGACACAATTTAAACTCCATGCATGTTTATTACAGAAGTATTAGTCTTACATGACATTATCGGATACAATATTTGATCTAATACATTATCAATATAAAACTGCACTTTTTCCATTATATATATCAACAATACTGTAATATATTATAACATATACATAATAAATAATATGATCATTTAATTTAAAGGACCCATTTTACGCTGTCATCACAAACGTACATGGAGTTGTGTTTTGTTTCATTTACATGTTTAACACAAAAATTCTGCATGTTTAGGCTTCTCTCAAACAGAAAACACTCTGTTCCAACTTGTGATGTTATGTGGTAATACAGGAGTTGTTCCATTGTGTTTTAAACTCCACACACTGCTAGAATCATTTGGTTAATTTAACAAAAGCTAAAGGGTAGCTGTTAACTTGTAAACTACCGCTTGGTGAACAGAGCATTTTGAGCTTTCAAGGTGTAGACAGACTAATAATAAAAGGTAGCAACATTTTAACATGACTTAAAGTCTAGGACATTCACTAATGTGCTAATCATTCATAAATTATTGTCTTTCAGAAGTTCTTTCCCATCCCACATCTCAAAACAACAATGTATTTTTTGTCACTGATCAAAAAAGTCCACGTGTGCTCCAGAAGGAAAGTTACTGTCCAGAACCAGATTCAGAAGTTTAGCTCCAGGTTTTTGGCAAGGCAGCAAGTCATGACTGACACCCGTCTTTCTGAAGATCTCCTCCTGCATCTCTGTGTCCATGGGTCCTGGGACACAAAAGAGGAACATCATTTAGTGGGTTTCAGTTGAAATTACTCATACTCATTACTCACTCATATCAAGCTTGCAATTTAAATGGACTCAGAAAGAAAATCACAATTCTGCAGTTTTGGAAGCAATATTATTTCCTCCACAAACAACTAAATGCTGAGTCTTATTTTTCATAAAAACTGCCATTGAAATGTGATTCTTGTAGTAGTTTGTCAGTTCTTATTTTCAATCTTTCAGTCTTTCATTTCTCTTGTACACGTTGAACAGAATCTCATTATCAAAGCATAAATCGCAAATGCTTGTCAGTGCTTGTGTTTTGTTTCATTCACACATGTTTGAGTAACCCTTCATTCTTAGTCTGTCTACATCTCCAAAGCTCAAAATGCTCTGTTCCACCCAATGGTATAGTGACCTGTTTTAGTCCTGGTTCATTTCTGGTCCCTTCATGTTGCAGGTCTCTATAGGACAGTACTGCAGATATCATGAGCCTATGCAGATTATTTTCACCATTGCCAAAAGCTCTGCTTTGACATTTAAGATTAAGTTGTAGCCTGTCATTTTGAGCTCAGTGTGAACATGTGTGAATGAAACAAAACATAACTCCAGGTATGTTTGTGACTAGAAAACAACATTATGTGACAATAGCCCCACGGGTGGGCTCTGCCACTTGGGTGCAGTGTCCATCCTCTTGCCCTCTGACCTTGCCCTCTGACTTCGCCCTCTGACCTCGCTCTCTGACCTCGCGCTCTTACTTCCAGTTTCCCGTTGTTGACGCGGCTTGTGTGTGTGCGTGTGTGTGTGTGCGTGTGTGTGTGTGTGTGTGTGGCGTAACATCGGACCTTCAAAACTATCGCTTAGTTGTACAATTGGGGGAATGTGCATTTTACTTTATAGATATTGAACCATGGAGTTGAGTGCACTGTCGCCACCTTGCCTTTCTTTCTGTGTACTTGTGTTTTCCGGAGATTTGAGCTCAGACTGGATTTACATCTTTGGAACCAAAAGTCATTCAGTGAACTGTAAACCGAATTGTCCTAACACCTGAAAACATTACTGTCACAATGAACAAATTTACGGAAAATGTATAAATAAACTGTATACTTTTGATACATGCGAATTATGCCTCTGTTCATCAACAACGAACCTATGTGCCATTTTTATATTAACTGGTCCTGGGCCAATTCCCAGGTGGCATTGTTGTTTGTTTGTTTTTTCCTTTATGATGACTTATGTTACTGTAATTGTTAATTATTGGTTCAGCCAGTAGTTACAAGATCTCAAGGTAGACCCACTCGCACATCGCCACATTTATAACATGATTAAATTGCGTAACTTGGGCCCTTTAAATGATCTTGGGCAACTATCAGATTAAAAAACAAACAGCATAAATAGTTTACCTGGAGAATAGCTGAGCACTTTAACATCTGTTTCTTCTGTGGCCAATACTTTGAACATCATATCTCGGGCAGCTTTGGCGGTACAGTACAGGACCCAGCGTGGGAGCGGTTTATGAGCAAACACAGACGAGACATTGACCACAGTCCTCCTCAGGTTTGGTCTTTTGGGGAACGCCTGCAGAACCCCAGCGGTCAGAGCCAGAGCCGAACTGATGTTAAAGGAAATGTAGGCATTCACTTCAGCTGGGTCAGTGAAGCTGGAGAACTGGGAGATGGCACCTAAAGAGGCTACAAAAAAAAAAAAAGAACATTTAAGGTGCCCTATGCAACTTAATGCTTGTCTCAGTGGAAATGTTATTGCTTTGTGTAATGGAGTTAAAAATGCACATGTTACTATTTCCTGGTTGTAGTTTATGTTTAATTATCATTTGTGAATTTTATGATTTTGATGTGCGTGCTGCTCCTGCATGTATTTTGTTTTGGTAGTTCAACTTCCCCGCTCAGTAGCACATTGGAGACTGCCGAGGGGAGCCAGTGCCTGATATGTGGAGACACATTAACTGAATATTTGTCACAGGAATAAAGCGGACTGACTCTACACTGTGTCCTGTCTTTCGTATACTGCCTAACGAAGACTTTGCAGCCGTTACATTTGCCTCAAACGTCCCGGAGTATTACAACAAACTTAATTCAATTGCAACTTTTTTATTGCAAGAAAGCACCTTGAAACACATGCATTCTTCTTGCCAGCGGTATCACTCCTCCACAGATCTGAACTGCAACTTTCAGCCATGTTATAATGTTGTTGCCTCCTCAAAAACACATGTTTGAGTTACCCTTTATTATAAGTCTGTCTACATCTCCAAAGGTCAAAATACTCTGTTCCATCTTGTGATAAAGTGGTAATTTTCAAGTTAACACCTTTGTTCAGTACATAGTGGCACTTCCAAATCATTCAAATCATTTAATGAAGGTGTAGAGAGTTTAAAAACACAGTGGAGCACTTCCTGTATTACCAAATGACATTACAAGGTGGAGTGTTTTCCATTTCAGAGGAGAACTCAGCCTCAATATGCAGGTTTCTGTGGTAAACGTGTAAATGACACTAAACACAACTCCAGGTATGTTTTTGATGTGGAAACAACATGACAACATAGACCAGAAATTAAAATCAGATTCGTAATGAGGAATGTAAAAACTCACCAGCATTATTAATGACAAGCACGTGATTGAAGTCATTCACATTTCCTCTTGTTGCAGCCTGCAGTGTCGTGGCCACCCCCTCTGTGGTGCTCAGATCTGCTGCTACACAGTGGACCACCAGACCCCGAGGAACAGTCAGGTTTTCCAGTTCTGTTTTCAACTCTTCAAGCAGTAGAGCACTCCGAGCCACCAATAAGACTCTAGAGCCAGCCTGGAGAATATGTGGAACCTAAAAGAGAACAGACAGTGTTAAAAATATGTAAAAAATATATTTTTTTCTGGGCAATATATATAATCACTACAATAAAAACAAAATCGTTATAAGCTACTGAAGTTTAAAATTGAGCAGGTTGTATCATATATGATTTTTAAAAACTGTTTCAGAGCTACAAATACAGTTTATTTAAGTAAACATTCAAATCCTGTGTGTTATTTTCCAACAAAGGTATATGATATTTTTGTACTTGAGTTTTTGAGTAACCATTGAGATGTTGGAGCAGAGTTGGGACCAAGTTGTTGTTTTGCAAGTCTCAAGTCTCAAGTCTTTGCCCTCAAGTCTGAGTCAAGTTCCAAGTCAAATATAAGCAAGTCCAAGTCGAATCTCGAGTCACTGGTCCATAAGTCCAAGTCAAGTCCAAGTCGTCTGCTTTGAGCTTCAAGTCGTTTCCAGTCTTTAAACCAAAATACCAAATGTAACTTAGATTTTTTTCAATTTATATGAATTTAAACTCAATTGTACTTAAAAAAAAAACATAGTATTTTTATATATGATAATTTAGAGTATTTAAGAGTTGTAGAAATGTAATTTTTTTTCTTTTTAAATGTTTTGACAAGATTTTAGAGTGAATCATTACAGTCAGAATAGAAAGAATTCTGATTTAAAAGTGCTTCTCAAGTCTTCTCAAGTCACAGGCCTCAAGTCTGAGTCAAGTCCCAAGTCTTACTCCATTTTATCAAGTCAAGTCTCAAGTCCTAAAAATAGTAACTCAAGTCTGACTTGAGTCTAAGTTACAAGTCCCCAGCTCTGCCTTGGAGACAAACACATGGTGTCACCAGGTCTTAGTTACAGTTCAGATCTGTGGATAGGCAGGCTGGCTCACAGTAAAAAGACATTTTTTGACCAACACAAATTTCTTTAATTGCCTAAATGGAAGATAGACACATTTAATGCCATACTGTAATATTACATAGAGTGCGCAGGTAGCAGACCCTCCATCAAAAAAGTGACATTGTGCAGCTTTAAATATATTAAATTCTACTTACCTGCTGTGCCAGACTCCGTCCAAACCCTTTCGAAGCTCCAGTGATGATACACAAGCATCGACCCAGATTTTTTGAGTTGAAATCACACATCTTAAAAATGGTGGTTTAATAAAATGCTTCAAAAATGTAAAAAGCTATAGACAAAAAATACATGCAGTGAGGGGACACACACAAGAGTCTGAGTGAGACGCCTTTTATACAAGAAACTATCCAGCAGAACTAATGAATGTCACATACAGTAAGAGCATCTTTTTGTCCAAAGCTTTTCTCTAGCCCTGAAGGTAAGTACGTGGAATGCGTCACAATACTGCCTCCCCGTGGACAGATATAGTAATATAATTGTCTCCACTTCTCAGAAAACAACATCATCGATTGCAAACTTTTTTTGCGTTATTATTTTTTTATTTAAATGTATAGTTTTAGCCTTCCTCCATTCAAATATCACACACCATGGTCACCAAATTGCATAGGCCTATTTACAGCCAAGAACAGGCCTACCTATTCTGAACAACTTCAAAAGGAGTCGAATCAGGTTAAGTGTAGGAGGTACAGTGTATGCAAAGTTGACTTTTTAAGCCTCGTACCTCTGCTGCCCTCTGCTGGTCATTTGATTACTTATGCCCAAACTAATGAAAACTCAAAAACAATGTGATACTGATCGTGTTTTGTTTAACTCCTCGTTTTATCACGTTTCACCAGCAAATTCTCCAGCCCATGTGCGTCCATACACAAGTCTATATGTTGTGATTCACGTTGTAATTCATGAAGCTCCTCTGTTTTTAAAGTCCATACAACTTCACAGGATTCCTTTTCAATAGACACATCCATGATAATTAGGGTGTTGGGTATTTCCAAGACACTAGTCCATATTATTTTATTATCTAGCCTACGGGAAAGAGGCTGTAAGGCAAAGTCCAAAGTACTTTCAATTTTAAAAGACCTTGGTAGACATTACAGTGCTGCAGGTATTTGGATATTTTTATTTTATTATTTTTGATCATTTGATTAGACTAATATTCATTATTTTTGACTTTTTATAGCCAGACAGTTGTGTGTCTTACTCAAAAAATGTGAATGGATCAGATTTTCAAAGTCCGAAACTGGGACACCTCCGGGTTGGTCGTGGTTGGTAATAATAAAATGCGCAATTAAAGAAAATTGTTATGCTCTTGGTCCGTTCATGACTTATTCACGATAACATGCGAGTCAGTATAGTCATTTTTTCTTTGTGTTTTTCGTAATTTTATCTAAACAAAAATCTAAAACAAAAAACTAGACAATTTAGGCCTCTCTTTACTATTGGCAGGTATCAAATTAGTCAAAAATAGGGACACCATGGGACATTTCTTGTATCAAACTGAGGCAAATCACTGGTTTTGGATAAATTCACTGAGACAGAGGACACAGGGCTCAAAACTGGGACTATCCTGGGTAAACTCTAATCTTACATGCAGTTTGTTGTTTTGTTTCATCTCGGATTTGTACCTCGCAAGTCATTTCGAAATTGTGAGTATGGCTTTGTACTTTTACGCTTGGGTCACTAAACAGATTCATGCTTGCCGTCCTTAGGGTGACCAGAATTTCAAAATAAAACAAAAAACCGGGAAATCCCTGGCTTGTGGTGGTTGTCAATAGTAAAATTGTGAAAGGGGTGCGTAATTGTTAAACACTGTTATGCACTCGGCACTAATGTGAGTCAGTATAGTCACATTTTCTTTGTGTTTTAGTCATTTTTAAGCAGCTTTTCTGTATTTTACCTAAACAAATGACAATATATGTTTCTCTTTACTGTTGGCAGGTATCAGATTGGTCAAAAATAGTGACACCTGGGACATTCTTGTACATTCTTGTACAAAACTGGGACAAATTATTGGTTTTGGATAAATCCACTGGGACAGGAGACACAGGGCTCAAAACTGGGACTGTCCCGGGTAAACAGGGACGTCTGGTCACCTTAGCCGTCCTTGATCCACGTAGCCTTGCGCAATGTAACCCCAAGTAGAGTCACTTCACTGGCTTCCCCCTCGTGGGCCACCACCGCTGTAACTATTCCCGGTCCAGTACTCACGCGCGGCTTTTCCCACAGGAGCGCGCCAGAGCTGAGTCTAAAGGGGGCGGGGACAGTAGTGGGTGTGTGTCTCTCAGCTGATGCGCGTATCAGCCGACTCCATCATCAGCATCCGACGCTCCTGACAGCGATCGAAGACAACATCCCCTAATATTAGCGCCCCACGGACCACGGCGCGTCACGTCCACGACACGACGAGCGCGAGGAGACAGCCAAGTGTATTTTGGTGGCTGCCATCTTACCGAGCGCCCAGCTGCAAAAACAGTGAGTAGTCTTTGATGATGGACAGCGGAGATGCTACAGTCGGTAAATCAAAGCAACTGCATGATTCGTCGTCAATGTCAATGAGGCTTTTAGAGGGAAAATGTCATGTTTTTTTTTACCCTGTTACGCGTTTTGTGTCGTTGGTGCGTCGCGTTCGGTCGTGGGCCTAGTGCCAGGAGGTAATTGTTTGGGAGCGCAGTGGATTCAAGGCTTGATGCGGGTGCTGCCAAAGCCGCCCTTGCCGAACGAGGATGCAGAGAAAAGGGAGAGAGCCAGCAGTCGTGAGGGGAGGGGACTCGGGCTCAGCAGCACAGACAAACTGGAGCACTGTATTTTACTACTACTGCGACCCAGGTGGAAGTAAACCTCTAGTAAATGGGATGTGGAAGGGGGCGCACCTGCTACACGCCTGCGTCCGTGTAGCCGTGCGTTTAGCCTAATTTTACGGAGGGTGCTGGGGTGTATGGTCGCCGTTCATACGACGAGTGAAGTCTTTATTCATTTACATACAGATTCAGCGGGGTCTCATGTGCAAAAATCTGCATACAGCGTCGAGGCAGAGCGGGCAGTCTAGAGAAATGGTGTCTGTGCGTTATCCTATGTGATCCACTGAAGTAGGATCACGCTCAATGTTATTTTTATGGCATTGCTGTTTCAATACTCGTTTTCCGAGCCTGGTTTTACATCAACTGGCCTATAAGCTATGGGCCTATAAGAATCTGCCTTAAAACTATTCCCAATCGGGCCTATGCATTCCTGATTGTGTGCAATAGGCATGTTTATAAGAATCATTTGTGAACATACAAGGCCCATGTTTCCCCGTTTGCCATGCACTTGTTGGATGCTGAAATTGTTTTGTTGTGATGGTGAAACTGTCCACCCATGACCAGTTTAAAGTTACAGCCTCATTTACAGGCCATTTAAAGAATTTTAGGCTACAGTATGGGCCTATAAACAATTTTATATACTTGTGTAAAACCTAGGGTATGGATGGGTGAATAGCACTGGTGTTGGGCATTTTGGAAGCACGTGCTGTTTTGCTTATTATTATTATTGGACATTTTTCAACATTTGACTTGATTCCATCTGAGTATTCACTTAAAGGCCCTATGTTATGAAAAATATACTCTTGTGAGCTTTAAGTCATGTTATAATGCTGCTGCCTCCTCAAAAACAGACCTGGAGTTGTGTTTTCTTTCATTCATACATGTTTGAGTAATCGTTTATTATTAGTCTGTCTACATCTCCAAAACTCACAAATGCTCTGTTCCACCTTATGATGTCATGTAGTGGTAGTTTTCAATTTAACAGCTACCTTTTATTTTTATATTACCTTTTTTCAGAAGAGACTGGTAATTTCTAGCCTGATTCATTAGTCGGTTTCACTTCGTAGAAACCGTCTGACCTTATAGCATTAGAATTAGTTCACTTGACGGTAGGCGGGTACTTTTTTTAAATTTAACCAATCGCTGCTATTTGGTCGTGACATATGTAATATGCCGCTAACAGGGTTAACCGGTATATTAAGTTTTTCCCAAATCCTATAGGAAGAACGGCAATAACGGTTTTCCCCTTGATAAAATTCACAGAAAATTGTCTTTGTTCCGTCTTTTAATCCTCGATCTCAGGAACTGTTGCCAACACAGAATGTATGACTCTTCGCTTATTGGCTGGTGCTCGGTTTTGCAGTTTTTGTGAACCGTCTAGTGTAGTCTGATTCCTGACCTAGTCGCTGGAGAGAAATTAAACTGAGCGGAGGTACTAGGTAGCACCAGCCTAGTTAGGTAATTTCAGGGCTGACATGATTCAAATGATACTAGTGAAGGTGTATGGAGTTTAAAAACACAGTGGAGCACTTCTTCTATTACCTGACACATGATATAAGTACCAGTACATGACATCACAAGGTGGAAAAGGATGTTTTCAGTTTCAGAGAAGAAGCTGGTCTAAATATGCAGGGTTTTGTGCATTAAACATGTGTGAATGAAACAAAACACAACTCCAAGTCTGTTTGTGATGAGGAAACAACATTATATCATAGATTAGAAAATAGCCTAGTATGGACCCTTGACACATGGGCACAAAACAGGGAAAGGTGAACAAAAGGAAATAGAAACATAGCCTATTAATGTGTATGTCACAGCTTTTCTAAGGCACATGTCATATGTTTCCACAAAACATTTCATGACATTTTCATTATCATAATTTGAGTTACCATAATCAGATTGATAATGAGAAGAAGACCTGAAGTTTGGTCAACAGCCTTCATGTTTAAATGTAGGCATATAATAATTCTACAGTAGAGACAACTTGTTATGAAAAAAAAAAAGTTACACGCCAATTTACTTCCATTAATGTCAGTGTGTTAAGAAAATCATGAGAGATGTTATGTGGTGTCCAAAAATAATTATTTTGTGGTGATGAAAAGTGCATATTGACAGCCTGTGTACTGCCAGCTGTGTGACCTATGGCCTATTCAAATGAAATATCTTACAGAGTTTGACAGCAAAATGAAGTCTTCTAATGTTGTTGATATAACAAGAAAATGAAAAACTTTGCTTCACTTTGACATTTCAGTTCAACAGAGGCAAAAACACTGTAATGGTCGTCTTAGATTGGTTTAATTGCACTGATCCAGAAGTCTAAACTAGGACAGAGCCAGAACTGAATCAGGACTGAACCAAGACTAAACTAGAACTAAACCAGGACTAAACTAGGACTAAACCAGGACTGAACCAGGACTAAACCAGGACTGAACCAGGACTAAACTAGGACTGAACCAACACTAAACTAGGACTGAACCAGGACTAAATCAGGATTAAATCCAGACTGAACCAGGACTAAATCAACACTGAACCAGGACTGAACCAGGACTAATCCAGGACTGAACCAGGACTAAATCAGGACTGAACCAGGACTAAATCAGGACTGAACCGGGACTAAATCAGGACTGAACCGGGACTAATCCAGGACTGAACCAGGACTGAACCAGGACTAAACAAGGACTGATTCTGGACTAAACCAGGACTGAATCAGGACAAAACCGGGACTAAATCAAGACAGAACCAGGTCTGAACCAGGACTAAACCAGGACTAAATCAGGATTAAACCAGGACTAAACTAGGACAAAACCAGGACTGAACTAGGACTTAACCAGGACTGACCAGGTCTGAACCATGTTTTCTGCTACAACATGTTCATATCATGAGAATTCTTTCAAACTGATGAGGACCAACAATTACATAAACGTATAAAGTGCTGGCCTGGTTGTGCACATGTACCAGAGCGACCTCTAGATTCTCTAGTTTGCACCTGAGTAGGAGGTTCTCACTGCCCTGTCTGTGGGCGGGACTCCTCTGCATTAACTCTTGTATAACTACATCTTTATGCAACAACATTTTGGTTTAACTGCTTTCGTTGTTTCTCTGTGTTCCTCTAGTGAGTGTGCCTCCACTGCCTGCATTAGGTTGTAATGCCCCACGCCAAATGCATGTGTGACCCTCCCCAAACCTGACTCCTTGCCTCTTGCCCCTGACTGTACCCCACTATGGGCAGTGTTGGTAGTGGGGTGGCAGGGGAGCAGGAGTTTGCCATGAAGTCAGTGGGCACGAGGACCACCCTGCCCCGAGCCCCGCCCCTGTCTCGCCGTTGCCCCGCCGACCGAAGCTGCAGCGCCGAGAGACTCCCGCGGCTCCCGGCGAATATCTCGGACGGGACGGCATCGAGCGACGAGAGAGGCAGCGTTAGCATCGGCACGGCAACCTGTACGGGCACGGACCGCCCCACCGAAACGGCCTCCACCACTAACACAGAATGTACCATGGCTGTAGCCTCCAATAACAACCAGCTGGACTGTGGCCCCACCAGGAGGGAGTGGCAGAGGGAGAGGGGCAGGGACAGAGACAGGGACAGGGACTGGGACAGGGAGAGGTTGGAACGCGAACGAGAGCGAGAGAGGAACCGCGAGAGAGAGAGAGAACGCGTGGAGAGGGAGAGACTGGAGAGAGAGCGAGAGAGAGAAAGAGAAAGAGCCAGAGAGAGGGAGAGGGAAAGGATCGAGCGGGAGAAGATTGAACGAGAGAGGGAGCGGGAGAGGGAGAGAGAGAGAGAGCGGGAGAGGGAGAGGATTGAGAATGAGAGGATGGAGAGAGAGAGGGAAAGAGAGAGGGAGAGAGAGATGCAGGCAGCAGCAGCAGCAGCTTTAGACGTTTGTGGGAACATAGTGGGGAGAGGGGCACCGGACAAGAGACAAGAAGTCATGATAAACCAGCACCAACACAGGGAGATGGCTTCTGCTCGCAACGATGGCGACAGCAACCAAGCAAGCGGACACAACCCACCCAAGATCATGCCCGTGTCCGGAAAGCTAGAGCAGGTACAGGTATAGCAACTTTCAATACTTCTACCAGGGGCGTGTGGGCAGGGCAAGAGAGTCAGATGTGACTTTGAACCATTTTTAGGATGGTCTCAACAAATTTGTCTTTTGAAAACTTCCTGTTTAGTTTATGGTTTCAGAAAAAAACTAAACTTTTTTTCAGAAGACTTTAAAGAGTTAAATTTTCTTTTGCTTTGGAGCCTAGCTGGACGACTGAGGGATTACGCAGACACCTTTTTAACACAAATAAACCAAAAAACTTTCACTTTAAAAGTGCATTGTGTAACTTTTCTGGTGGAGGGTCTGTCAGAAGCTTTTGTTGTTTTGATGTTATTCCTTTGTCTGGAATTTTTCACGTTAAAACATTCAAAATTTCTTTCCTCATGGAGACCAAACCAGGCCAAGTTACAAGTCAGATCTGTGGAGAGAATGCCTGTTTTTCTAGGCATTTTTGAGCTGTAAAACCACCTGTAACTGAATAAACATAAAGTTGAGCTGTTTAATGTCCTACTGTGGAACATTCCAGGTGGAGCAATGACATAACCATAGTAACAAGCAGGTGACAGACCTCCAACCAAAAAGTTAGTGCACCTTTAAAACGTAAATAAACACACACATACATACCGAAACTAAATAAAATTCAGTATATATGTGATTCCCAAATTAGAATCTTTTTTTGTCAAATGAGTCATGTCTTCACCCAGCACATGTTATTTTTGTACATAGTTTGTATTCAGCTTTATTCATGATCAAACATGATTTTACGCCATTATCACTTCATTATAAAACCAGGTGCCTATGAATTATTCTATGTGATCCATTGAAGTAGGCTTATTATTGGTGTTATTTGTGGCATTGTTGTTTCAATAGACTATTTCTGAGCCTACTTCATTAAAAACCAACAACAAAAACAGGTTATAGAAGATATGTATATTACTTTGTGTTTCGTAATATAATGTTTATAACTATTGAGTTCAACAGTCTGGTTCTACAAGTAAATTTTCCATAAAATTTTCTCATAGACTTTTCAAATAATTGTAATATTATGACTTTAATGACACAGCGGATGCTAACCTGACTCATGGTAATGAATTCAAGATTTTAAATGATTAGTTATCATGTAGCTGATTATGTGTGAGCAAGCTTTCAAACTTTTAATATTATAAATTTTCCCTTAATGCCTATGGGAAAAATGAATGGAAAATTTACTTCCGGAACTAGAGGATGGGTGATCATTGTTGCGCTCCGTAGGGATTGGAACAATTTACCTGGGTCTGTGTATTTGTGAAATGATTCAGTGTCTATGTATTTTTCACACTGTAATCTCAACCTTTTTTTGACAGGCAATGCAGAGCAACTCGGGCCTGGTGCGTCCTTCTGCCTTCAAACCCGTGGTCCCCAAAAGCTTCCACTCGATGCAGAACCTGGTGGGACAGGCCGGAGGAGCGGGGGGAGAGGGGAAGTGTGAGGCCAGAGGGGAGGGTTACAGCGAGGGCCGGAGCAGGAGAGCCAGAGACGCAGAGGCCGGGGAGGTCCCAGAAGCGCTGCTGCTGGACCAGGACAGTCCAGTGAGGGTGGCGCGAGGAGAGGGGGCGGGCAACAACAATGAGGTGGTCCAAGGAATGTCCGACTCTGGGAGGAACTCTCTGACCAGCCTGCCCACCTACGCCGGGTCAGGGTCAGGACATGGACCCCCCGCTGTTTTGGGACCCCTGAGTGCGTCCACCAGCCACATCAACAGACTGGGCATGGTGGGGGCAGCGGCCGGCCTCGATAAGCTGGACAAGCCTGGGTATCAGGTGAGCAACCCAAAACATGTACAGTGAAGTATAGGCTAATCCTTCAGCTACACTACCAGTCAAAAGTTTGGGCACACTTTTTGATTCATATTTTCATTATTATTTACACCAAAACTATGAATGGACACATGGAATAACTCTGAACATGTTTTAGATTAAAAATATTAAAAATAGCAACCCTTGCTGTAAACCCTGGTTTGCACTTTTGACGTTTCTTGACCAGGACACGGCACAGCTGTTAAGTGAGAACTATTTTTAGGAGACTTCATCATGAAGCTCATCAAGAGAAATTCATGGGGTTCTTGTATTTACTTATCAGTTCATATTTCAGTCTTCTCTCAAATGTTAAAGGGACAGTTTGGAATTTTGGACATAGGACCTAATTTCCTAGTGAGCTAGAGTGTTGGAGACGTGTGGAGACACTTTTTTAAATATTTCATCCAGTCCCTGTATTTGCAGAGGTCACTGGTGCTAGGCTAACGCATGTCAACGGCTATAGTTATCCTGCCACTAAAAACAGTCTTACCCACTCCACAAAGCACTCGAAGCAAAACTATTATTACGCCAAACTGTCGATGTAAATGTTTGTGTCAATAGAATAATTTTAGAAGCAAAACCAATCTCTGAGCAACAGCAGCGAGTTGTACTTCCTGATAGAAAGCTTGGCAGCGGTGGACTGATATATGAGAAAATAGTCCCTCAGCATGCGCGTACAGTTCATGCAATGCAAGGTTAGATTTATTTCAAACATTATTCTATCAACACAGACATTTACATTGATAGCCTGGCATAGACTTACTTCAGGAGCTTTGTGGAGTGGGTTTTTAGTGGCAGGATAACTATGGCCGTTGACATGCTCTAGCCTAGCATCAGCGACCTCTGCAAATACAAGGACTGGATGAATTTTTTTTCAATTAATGTCTCCTAGAGTTGTTTATTATGTCCACACTGAACAAAATCCAACTTTCTAAACATGATCGCAATTGCAATAGTAGAAAAATTTCCATTTCACTTTTTTATGTGCAACCCTACTCTTATCATCAAGATATGGAGATGGACAATAGTCAATAGTGAGTGGACAATAGTTGAAGGATGGATCAAATGTATAGAGGGAGAATTTCTCTAACAAACTGATTAATTTATGCATAAAAAGAACCGTGCTTCAAAGCCTTTTCAGGCCTATCATGAGAAAAAAAAACATTCCAAGTTATATACAAAGCTGCTGGCTCATTTGTTTGTTTGGTCTCCATGTCACAGTCTAGTTAGTTACTATTTGGCTTAGTTACTTACTATTGACTTTGCATGATTCATTGTGGTCTTAACTCTGACACACTCAATACATTTTCTCTTGAAACTGCTCAGTCCACTTTGAGAAATTCATTACCACACAATGAAAAAAGATATTTGTCAGAAAATGTTACCGTAAGTGTGTGTCTTGCAGAACGGCCTCAGTGCGTCGGACAGCGGGCGCTCCTCTTCAGGTAAAAGCTCGTCGTCCTATCAGAGGCTGAGTCACCTGAGTGATGCTCCCGCCCCTCTACGCCCGTCCCCGTCCTCCGATGACATCATCCAAGACCTGGAGGACCGTCTGTGGGAGAAGGAGCAAGAGGTCAGAACCACACAACTGTAATATTAACATGAACTACCCAAAAAGAGCACTATGAACACTGACTGCTACTTTAATATAGTACAATATTTATGAGTATTGCATTACCAAACTGTGATCTTTATACAAATTATTTTCTGCAAATAACACATTGAAAAGAGGTTGCTCAATATGTTTATGTATGAAATTGTTATTCATATTTAAAACATCACTAAAATGTAGAATAAACTGTAGTAGCCATTTGAAGAGAATTAAAGAGAAGAGGCGTAATCTTGGAGTTTGAAAGCAGGAGAAGTTTACTCGCCATCAGTACAGGACCCAGCACCTGGAGATATGAGCCCTCATTGAGATTGTATTGTCGAGTCTAGTCCAGTCCTGTCTGGCTATGCTCCTGTTGTAGGGAGTATTATACCTCTGATGACGTAGGCCACTTACGCTTTCATATAATACTTTTTTTTTTTTAAAGCTCATTCACTTTACACTGTGGAACAAATGTGAGCAAGAGTAATAACATTTCACAATATTCTTATTAATTTTGTGTCTCCTCTCATTACAAAGCTTCATTTATTTTTTGTAATATTTAAAAGGTGCAGCACATGCGTCGTAATCTGGACCAGAGCGAAGCGGCCATTATCCAGGTGTTTGAGGAAAAGCAGCGCGTTTGGGAGCGACAGATGGACGAGCTCAGACAAAACTACGCCTCTCGTCTGCAGCAGGTCAGAACAACTTAGTGTCCTCAAAGCAACAATCAGAACCTATACAGTGATACAGTGACTTTCTGTAATTTTGATGGTGTTGGTTGCTTCTGTGGTCTGTCTTGTAAAAGAGATTCTGTATCTTAATGGGATAGGTAGAATTTGTATGACTTTCTCTAAATATTTCCTAAGCTTTACTCAATTGAGAGAGAGATACTTTATTGATCCCAAGGGAAATTCAAGTTTTTGTGTCTTCGGATTTGAAATAAGAATGTTAAAACAGAATGTAGATTTTATTTATCACTATCAACAATTAATTACAACAAGATTTACGTTGTAGTTGTTTGTTTACATTTTGTATTTTGGAATTCAGTCCAACTATCCAGTCAGAAACCATAACGTACATTCATACAACATCCTCTTTTGGGTTGACAGATTGTATAAAATATGTTGTAATGTTATGTAAAAACATTTAATAGGTCTCTATGATTAGAACATATTTGTTACAGTTGCTATATATTAATTTCAATCTTGTTTAAATGTATAAAACCAAGAAAAATTATTTGGATACTTGGATAATGTCTTACTATCTTTCTATTTCCCATTATTTTAACCTGAGCACTAGTATTATAATGGTTTGTAATGTAATATGTACTGTGTATTTTGTGTAGGTGACAAGGCGTGCCCAGCGCTCCCAGACCGCTCTACAGGCTCAGATCGGCAGACTGTCCCAGGACAAGCGGCGTCTACAGGAGGAGATGGCTGCTTTGCTTGCCCAGAGAGAGGAGCTGGAGAGAAAGTGTCTGGACTATAGAAAAGAACAAGCTGACATCCTGCCCCGGCTGGAGGAGACCAAGTGGGAGGTACATTTAGAGAAGTGGTTACCAAATTTTTTGGTTTTATTTTATTCATATTAAAGTGTGCTTCGTATTAATTCTGGGAGATAAAAAAATAAGACTTTAGCCAAATTTTTTTTTCTCAAATCTTTCTTTGTGTACACCCCAGTCATTTTATATTTAACTGAATCAAAGGAGTAGATCCAGGTGCTGCTGTCTCTGGGGTCAGTGAACTACACTGTGTGTAAATCTCACTGCACATTAGATCGTGCATGGTGAATTAGTGGGAACAACTCTGCTGAAATCTCTGTTGGCTTTGAGTTGTTAGCAAATGCTCACCCCCAAGGCTCACACATATGTTCACATGTAAAATATGAACATATGTGAACATACCTAAAGACTTTATTGAAATGTTTGTACTGTTGTTAAATGGATAACCCTAAGAAGGTATAGTTTCTCTTTAGTTTTTTACATTTTATCGCTACATAGTGTTGTATAATATTTGAGTTCATGCAGTGATATATTGCTGTTGTTTCAGGTGTGTCAGAAGGCAGGTGAGATCTCCCTGTTGAAGCAGCAGCTCAGAGAGAGTCAGGCAGAGGTGACCCAGAGGGCAGGGGAGATGGTGGCTCTGAGGGGCCAGCTGAAGGAGCTCAATGCCCAGCTGAGAGAGAGGGAGGAGGCCATGCTGGGCCTCAAAGACTCCTACAGCACCAAGAGCCTGGAGCTGGAGAAGTGTGAGAATGAACTGCGCAGGACTCTCTCTGAGGTATGGGGGCAGGAGTACCGGAAATGTGTACTCAAGTAAAAGTACAGTCACATGGTTAAACATGTAAGTAAGTAATGTAAACTTAAAATGTATGCATGAACAATACTACTTAAAGTACAAGTTAAAAAGTAAATTCAAAGTGGTTACCAAACTTATGGCTTATTGATTGGTGACTTGGTTTGGTTTTATGGGGTGGGGAACGATTATTAAAGAAATTTTAATTTTTTTATCTGAGAAAGGAGCAGGGTTTTTAAGATTTATCTCCCTCCTGTTCCTTTTGTTCATGCAGCAAAGACAAGGCAAAGGTTGTTGTTGTTGTTCTCTTTAAATTGATGCCAACAAAATAATAGCATGAGCAATACATAAATGAATCCAAAAAATAAAAAATAAACTTTTCACGGAATACCCATAAAAATATTCAAACAGTTGCGTCACCAACTCACTACAGCTGTGTTGGCTGGATTTTAATTTTAAAAGAGTGCCTCTGACTTTTCTAAGCTCTACTACCATTTACATTTTTACATCAGTATCAGCTCAAAATGCTCTGTTCCACCTTGTGATGTCATGAAGCAGTAGTTAACAGCCACCTCGTATCTTTTGGTCAGTAGAGATCGGCAATTCCAGTGCTGAAAATCATCCAAATTATTCTATACAATTAGTCAAGTTGTAACAGAGTGTTTTCTGCTTTCTGAACTCAGCCTAAATATGCAAGATTTGTGTGTTGAACATGTGGGAATGAAACAAAACACAACTCCAAGTATGTTTCTGATGAGGAGACAACATTATAACATAGATCAGAAAATAGGACCCATTAATGCAAAAGTGATTCACAAACCATGGATGTGCTTTTGGTGCAAACAAAATGATTATAATAATTCACAAACATATACATATATATTTCTCTTGCAGGTGTCAGTCCTCCGGGAGAAGCTGGGCGTGTTTGAAGCAGAGGTGCTGAGCTTGAAGCGAGCTCTGAGCGAAGTGAGCCGCGGCGCTGAGGTGGTCGTGAGCCCAAACTTAGCTGCTGCAGGACTGTTACCTCCCTGGGGAATGGTCCACTGCCCCCGGAACCCAAACGAGCCCCCCAACAACGCCCTGACGCCCCCTTCCGACACGCTCCTCAGCCTCCAGAGTGACGAAGCTAAGGCCCAGCGTCAGGAGGCTCAGAGACAGGAACGGCAGCAACGTGAAGAAGCACAATGGAGACAAGACCCCCACATCCCCCCGGACATGCAGGGCCGATCCGAGACTCAACTACGTCAGGACGCCCCCTTCAGGCACGAAGCGCAACTGCGTCAGGAGGCCCAGCTCCGCCACGAGGCCCAGCTCCGTCACGAGGCCCAGATAAGCCAAGAGGTGCAGCTCAGACAAGATGCTCACCAGCCCCACCGTGAGGCCAACTGGGATGAAGCAGGGGAGTTGCGGAGACAGCTGGAGCAACTACAGTCCGCGCTACGCTTAGAGAGACAACAGCGAGAACGCCAAGCTCTCAACTTTGATCAGGAGAGACACACCTGGCAGGATGAGAAAGAGAGGGTTTTGAAATATCAGGCGCAGCTTCAGTTAAGTTACGTGGAGACGCTGCAGAAGAACCAAGCATTGGAGAAACGCATGACCCAACTGGGAAGCAAATCTACAACAGCTCCCACGACAACAACCACGACCACGACGACTGCTACTACGGCGACATCCCCGACCTCCTCGAATTCGCCTCCTCCGTCTCTCACCGTGTCTCCCATGTCCCCTCAGCTGCCCCCGTCTTTGCCCGGTCCCATCTCTCTTACCCTGTCCCCGCCCTGTGAAGATCAGAAAGCCCCACCCTCCCTCCACCACCTTGCACCTCCCTGGGCAGGACCATCCCGTCTGGAGAGGATAGAGTCCACTGAAATCTAAAAAAGACATTCTCCGACCCAGTTCAAAACACAGATTACAAAGACACAAGATCTTTTCAGCCTGATATTACAACATACACTGCAAAAAGTAACATCATGCTGAATTGAAATTACATGATTTAGGAAAGTTTATCTTGATTTAAGTAAATTCACTTGACAAGTAAAATTATCTACAGATGGAACAAAACTTTTTAGAAACTACATATTTCACCTGGGTTTGCAATCCTTCAGAAATTTATTTAATAATATACTTAATTAACCGGTCGATGGTGTCTTAGTTTACCAAAGTTTGTATGAGTAATTTATTTTATTTTATTTATATCATAAGGATTTAGTTTAGGAGGACAACAGCAGAAAGGAGAAAGATTTAGGAGCGAATCCTTCGTGTGAATACAGTTTTTTGTTTTCCTTTCTGTTTAAATTGTTGCTTTCGGATGAACTCCTGAGCAGGTGTAGTGTTTTGAATGCAGTTTCTGTCAGATATAAGTCTAAAAGTTTAGCGAGTTTTGGCCACACCCCGTTTTTAGTCGACTAATCGATTGGCAGGGCATACCTTTAGTCGACCAAGAATTTCTTTAGTCAACTACAGCCTTAATTAACTTAAGAAAAAAAGATATGAAAAAACAACTCACTACACTTTAAATAAAAAACTAAATCGTGTGTTACTGGAATTATAACATGACACTTCTTCCATTGGTCCATAATTTTATCACGTCAAATCTACTCCAATCAACTAAAATGTTCTTAATTAAAGTAATTTTAACTTACCAAGATATTACTTTTTGCAGTGTATTAGGCTTAGTATATAGTAACATATTATGACAAAGTATTCCTGGACACATGAGCAGAAATTGTGAAATGTACCATTGAGTAGCTGTTACCAACAATAGGTTGAGATTCAATTTATCAAGGATTTTTCAACCTCCGAAGCAGCCTTTTGCTAAATAATTGCACATTCAACTCAATCAGTGTTTGTGAAAAATGTGCCACACTGATATATGGGGAAAAGATAATAATATTAAATGACAATGGCTTACAGTTACATGTGCACTCAAAATCTTCTCATTATTTTTTAGTTATAAGACTATTTACATGACACATTAACAGCCCCATAAGATCTGGTTATCTTATACCATGGTCAGAGAGAATATTAAGTAATTACTGTGCATTATTTTTGCATAACCACACAGGTAGTATGGGCAACGATTAATCACAGGTAAACAAATGAACTGTTACTACTACTTAAACAGAAATAATTAATGCTTTGAACATCCACAGATTTAAAAGTTGACTATTTTCAGGAGGTGGGACCATGGTATAAGTGGATTAAAAAACTAGGGGCAGTGCGTTACCATAGACCACACTTCTCCAACCAGTAGCTCGGGAGCTACCAGTAGCTCGGGAGCTACCAGTAGCTCGCCAAGGGATTTTTGAATTATACATATTGCTTTGAATAAGTAAAATTTGATTGATTAAATGCCTATTTCCATTGTAAATGTATATTTTTTATGCCTAACTTTGTGAACTAAAAACTGGATAATGGTTTATATTTTATAGGCCTCTAACTGTGTGAGACTTACCATGGCTCTTATATTTCCTCCGTTTCTGGCAACCGCTAAAACTAATAGCTCTCTGGGATTTTCGTTTTACAGAAAGCAGTTCACAGGAGGAAAAAGGTTAGAGACTCCTGCCATAGATTGTATACAGAAGTAGATTTAAAGGAGTGTGACGTTGCCCATCGCAATCAGCTCCAGTCAGATGAAGCTCATCAGTTATGGGGTGAATTTAGAGCCATATTAGTTCCATATTAGGAATAGGAATTTATTTGGAAATAGAGAAGTGCTCCCATGTTTGCTATTTGGAACAGGGCGACTTTCGTTTAGTTATGTCAATTTATTCAGTCTACTTGTGTAACACTTTTTTAACGCACAACACACAGCGCAGTTATTTATAGGTCCATAGATCAGATGATATTTTGATTTTGGTGCGCATGTAAATAAAGCCAGTGTTTTTCAAAACAGGGTCATTTAATACCCATGCTATAAAAGGACCAAGACAATCAGGGATATTGTCAAAAATGATCAACAACAATAATATTATTATGTGCTATTTATTAACTGTAAGTCTGTGTAACTGGTAATGTACAAAAGTAGAACTAGTGCTCAGAGTGTGTGATGTTAACATTTTGGCCAGAGAGCGCCTTATCATTTGTTTCCAGCATGTGTATGATACTAATAGGTGCTGGGACTATGTGAAAAAAACAGAGTGTTATTTTCATTCATTTTAGTGCTTTAATTGTAAATCTGAAACAGGTTATTGCACATAGTTGGGCTTTTTCTGTTCAATCTTGCTTGGTATTTTTCATGAACATGCACAGGTCCAACATGCATGACCCATTGAATCGTATCATTAAAACTAAAACAGATTATATATTTTGTACGAAAAGATAATCAAAGCCCCAAAAGAATAGAAAAAAAAAAAACGTAATAATAATAATTTAGCTTTAGTAGTGCATTGACTCATATTCTCCACTAGAGGTCGGTAGAGATTTTTCATAGTGCCCCAACAAAAGCAAACAGGGAAAGTGCAATGACCATATATGGAAGCACACGAATTAGATTATCAACATTATTTTGTCATTCACGTGGTGCATTTATAGCCAAGAAATGTGAGATAGTAGTCCCCAAAGTTTAAAAGAATTTTATAGAATGTATGATACAGTAGACAGAAATACCTATAATACTTCTAGATTGTAAATGTGTGAGAGACGGAGTGTGTGTGTGCATGTGCGTAAACCTATGAAGAGCTTCAGCTTATGAGATTGATGATAGAGGGACTAGTGGCAATAGAGCTAAGAGAAGTTTAGATATATTAATTAAATGGTTTGGGAATGTTTTTTACAGGTAGTGTTAGATAGGAGGCTCTGGAGGGACCATAATGTAAACTTCTGTTGCAATGAACAGGCATAAACTGTTATATTTTTGACTGTTTTACATTTTTAATTCATGGTTTAAGGCTAGTGTTGGGCAAATTTGTTATCTGAAGTTACTGCTAACATATTGTCAAACCTAACCTTAAACATAATACATTTCCTAAACTTAAAGGTGCTCTAACTTTTCTGATTGGGGTCTGTAAATGGCTAGTCTCCATGGAGATGTTTTTGCTTTGTCTGGAATGTTCCATAGTATGGTATTAAAAAAACAAAAAACAAAAACAAAAAAAAATCTCTTTCTTTGAGCAGGTTTACTTCTCCACATATCTGACTTGAAAAACACAGATCTGATCAGTAGTTTGTCACCGTATAGATGGATAACTCAAGTGTCAATTACATCTCCATGGACAAAAGCCAGTGACAGATCCTCCACCAGAAAAATGGTTATTCATTACTTTGGATGACCAATCGCTGCAGAGCGTCCCTCTGGAGCAAACTATCTAGAACCAACCAAATTATTACAAGTTATTATTACAAACAATGGCAACAACAGTGAGACGAAAGAATGAACACTGGGTCTGCATATCCTTCTGGAAAACTCTTAATTCTGTACAGTTCGTTTAAACCAAGGCGGGGAGAGGAAGGTTGTTTAATTTATAAGTTGAATGCTGGCCTCTTTACAAAGGCTAACTGCACTATGTAGTGTCCTACACACAAGTTCGGATGTACAGTAGACTCAGATGTGAATATCATGGCTTTTATATGTGTTGTTTATGCCAGCATACAAAGATGTTGCTCAAAAATATTAACTTATCTCTAAGGTATTACATAGTATTATCATCTTTATTACTGTTATTATATTGTAGTGAACTGAAAGAGAAAATATGTGCCATTTGAGCTTTCCTTTATGTGTTTTTTTAAACTATGTAGATAGCCTATTGGCCTACCATAATGGTGCAATCATAGCAACCTTGTCCAAAAATGATGTTGCTTTTAATGTAGTTGGTATAAATGTAGTTCAAGTATTGCATTGTTTAGAGAACAAAATGCTACCAATTTTATACATGTTTCAGAATTATTGTTTGCATTTCTGTTACTGTTCTGGCTTGATTAAACCACTCCTTTGTTCAGCAGACCTAATAAAGATGTGAAGAATTCATCGCCTTTGTTGTTATGTATTATTTGTGTGACCCTGAACTTAACTTTAGACGATATTACTCAGAATACATTATTTGTCTTTATTTATTGTTATTAATCATCCATACATTTAAGAGGACAGCATTACATATAGTATGATAACAGTGGGGGCTGGTCTATAGAGGGCACGAGTGCGCCGCACTCCCGAACTTTAATTGGCCCGAGCCAGTAACGTAGTAACTGGCGAGGGCTATTGTTCTTCGCCGGTTTCTTTTTTTTTTTATTCCCTTTTCCGACCAAACGATCGCATTTTTGACCCCCTGAACATGGACGAAAAGTCCCCAAAGCGGGGTTCAGATCGATCGGCCCGGCGAAAAATTCGATAAAATGGGCATCGCAACAATGACCCGAGTGACCCGACTCAACAGCGCCGCCTAGAATTGGACCCCTATTGGAGTGAGGACAGGCAAAGTTTGTCGCAGGGAAACGAAATTCGGGACAGTGATAGAGAACAATGACACAAGACAAAAGATGAATTGGAGCATGACCCTATGACGAACAGGAAGTCGGCCATATTGGATCAAACATTCGCCGCCGTTTTGACTTGGGGGTCTACAAAAAGATTCAAGTCCCCGGGGTTTGGTACAAATGAGCTCAAATTTGACATGTCACATCTACAGACATGAACTCACAGAAGTTGCCAATTTTTTTTGGGATACTCCTTACGGTTCGCCCGTAGCACGTTGGCCAAAAACGCCTTCATTTCCTGTTTCTTCGGTGACCTGTCACGGCCACAAGCATTGTCCTAGAGAGCTCAAATTCGAAATCACAACTGTGTGATCCAGGCCTGAATGTAATGAAATATGAAATTTAATAAAAGTGAACTCTATAGCGCCCCCTAGCATAGACATGAAACATCTACATTATTGGATTTGTACCAAATTCGGGAATAAAATCTCCGCATGATTACAAGCAAAAAAGTCTATTACGAACATGCTGCATTTTCCACGTTTGGCCAGTAGGGGCGCAATGACTCCTCTGAAACATTTAACATTACACTGTGTAATTTTTCTGGTGGACGAGCTGTCGGCCTTGGAAGCTGTCGGGAAGACAGGGTGGCGTGCCGGGGCGGTCGAGAGTCCCCGGAGGTCGCGTGGGGGGGGCGGTGCGCGCCGTGGCGAGGGCCACCATCGCCGCGCGCGGCTTTAATATGAATTGTATTTCGTTATAAAAAGGAGTAAACCACTAAACCCGTTTAGTCTTAGTTTAGACCTGGTTTAGTTCTGGTTTAGACCTGGTTTAGTCCTGGTATAGACCTGGTTTAGACCTGGCTTAGTTCTGGTTTAGACTTGCTTTAGTCCTGGTTTAGACCTGGCTTAGTTCTGGTATAGACCTGGTGGTTTAGACCTAGTTTAGACCTGGCTTAGTTCTGGTTTAGACCTGGCTTAGTTCTGGTTTAGACCTGGTTTAGTTCTTCTGTTATTAGGTTATTTTATTTCATTTTAAGAGTTTGTTTTCATACCTGACAGTTTCGACTGCTCAGTAGCGGGCTTCTTCAGAGTGGTCACGTGGTCACGGTCACGCAGCCTCGCGGTCACGTCATGTAATAAAAAATTTAAAAAACACCTCTAAAATAAAATAATAATAAAAGCAATGCAGCTTTAGTCCGCATGAGGTACAATGATATAATATGGTTATTTTGTAATTTCAAATGAGCTTTAAACCCAGGAGCTGTACAATGGCCTGGTCTGGCGTCGGTCGGTGCGTCGGTGCCATAGCGATAGAACGTCGTGCGCACTATATAAGCGGCTGCGCGCTCAGTTGCACTCCCCTTTCTCACATGAGAACGCTTCTTGGACGCACTGCGGACACTTGTACGAAACTTTGATATTCATCGCTTCTTAGCCCCTCACCGGTTGTAAAACATCATCACAACTTGGTATATCTGCCTGTCAACACTTTCTGGAGGATTGAAAACACACCAAAACCGTGACTGGCCTTCGCCATGGACCTGGTGCGCCCCGTTCCGGACCCTGACCGCCAGGATCACGTCCCCGAAGGTAAAATTAATCCAATAACATTCAACCATGATAAATTATATAACAAATATTAACAGCATAGTCCAAATATTTAACGACAAGAACAGTTTTGTCCACCTGTGAATGTTTCTGTGGGTGTAAGGTTTGGTTGCTATAACCAGATTTATGAAAATTAAAAAAAAAAAAAATTTGATAGTTTGTGACTTTCACTCGACGATTTCATTTTGGATCATGATTAATAGTTG